CCATCTGATATTCCTGTGAGGGACAGTTGGTGCAGTGCACAACATAACACAGCTATGCTTCGTCGAGGTGTTTACCAAGTGACCCAAAGAGTGACTTCCACATAGGAGGGTTAATGAAATGGACAAACTCTAGGCATTGCATTGAGGGGCTGAAATATGGTTTTCGAAAAACGGGGAGCATCCTCATCTAGCGAGCACACGCATCTTAAGATCACAAGATACACTCCTAGCTAGGTTTGACTCTCAGTGACTGTCTCTTTTTAGGTGCCCAAAAATTAAAAATTATTCTTTTGTTAATTTTAAATTGGCTCCAACATTTTGATTACAGAGATGACATTTTCTTCCTCTGATTCGTGGACCTGCAGGATTTTTTTGAAGGGAAAAAGTCCCAAATTGTAAAATGGTCAGATACAACCCCAGAATTGTGTGGATCGTCTTCCACTGGGCTCCCACCAAATTTGGAGTGCAACATGGAAGCATGATACAAACCACACAGTTGGGGGGGAATGGGTCAGATTTCCACCTTGTGAATATAAAATCTCAACAACTATGTTGGCACGGATCCAGACTAAGATTTGTCATGGTCAAGATGGTAAGAATATTAAGTCCCCCCAAAACAGTTACTACAAATGTGACCAGCTACACATCATTTCAACTTAGCCAGCAACAGCAACATATCCGCAAATTTTTGGGGATCGTATTTTTGGGATTCACCTTGGTAGATGACTATGACATCATGCTCAATAACTGTAGAGTTGACATGGCAGAGTTGTTCGATTTCTTCACAAGTCCCTTCACAAGTCCAGTCACGAGGCTCGTCACACGTAACAGGGTGAACAATGACAAAGGAATGCTTTTGTCACAGCTCATTTGAATAGCTTGTGAATTGGCTTAAGACTGAATGACTTATGATGGGCTTGTGATGGACTTACAGGGGCTTGTGACGGACTCAAATACAACACTGTGATATGGAGGTACAAAAATAGAATACAGGGCCTCTCCACTCAATATCCTTGCATCCATGGCTGCGTGGATGCACAGTCGAGTCAGTCGCCTGTGTGTGTATGTGCACAAAACGATTTTTTGACAGGCGAAAAAAAGTCCGCTGATTAGACTTGCTCCTGTATTCATTGCTTGGGAGGATGTTTTTAGAAGTCGGCAGAACGTTTTCAATTGTGGGAGAGGGGGATAACATTTAACACTGAATTCGTCCCGAGTCTACAAATGAAAAGTGGAGGGGCCAAAATGCAAATTTTAAAAAGTGGGGGGGAGGGAATTTGAAGGGAAATAAAGTCCAACAATCAGACATGTAAAAGACTGGCGTCATATGGTTACCCATGAATTAAAGTACAAAAGCCACCTTGCCCTTTGTCTGGCCTTTCACCCTAGCCAGTTCCAAGCCAGAGATAAAGCCATCCCCCTTTTGTTTTGCATCTAATCCTTTCACCGCCCAGTCGTGAAATTTATCATTTTCCAAGAATACACCACAAACAACATGCGTAACACAGGGATTGATTGTGCCTTCAGCCGTCCAAGATCAGCCAATCGTTCTCTATTCGTGCTGTAAAGTCAAGGCCAGAATCCACGCATCCAGGAATCTGTGCATCCAGGCATTTGGAAATATAGTGCCCTCTCAGGCTAAATTCACTTTTTTTCTCAACACTGTAGCCACTTTTTATAGCTGCCAACCAGGTACTTGGTTTGAATTTTTTCAACCATTTCCATTCATTCTGTGTTGCTTTGTTATCAAAAAGACCTCTTTCAGCATTGTTGCCAGTGATTGTGGGAGGTATGTTCACACGTGGCCTGCGCTCTAATTTCTATGGTCACTAGACAATGTTGCATTCCCCGATATGCCAAATTGGAGTCCGACACTACTGCGCAGCCATCATCTACAAAAACATGGTTTTCGTGTGGCCCTCATTCTAATTACTCCGACATGGTTGATGTTGTGAAAAAAGGACAGGGTTTTGAGTTTTAAAGGAAATTATGTGTAGGATGGGCCTATAATATGGGGAAACTGTGTTTTAACACGACACATGGTGGATTCAAATTTGCGTGGCTGGTTAATTTTTCCCAAATTGGGTCATAACCAGTCAGGAAAATAAGGAGAGCACTGCCTCCGGTTTTATGGGGGGATCTGACCGATTTTACAAGATCAAAATGACAAAAAAAGGGGGTCCCCAAATATACAAGCCCTAAATTTTATACATATAAATACTGTTGAAGGTTGACAATATATCAATATACGTAGGATGATATGATACGGTAACCTTCCTTGAAGTTGAAGCATCCTTGAAGGTAGGGCCTTATGCTTATTAGATGTTGCTCTGTAATCACCTAAGTTTTTGATCAAGAACCATACGAATGGAGTGGAATTTGACCAGATTTTATCAAAATAACAAACCTTTTGAGATCCAGCTTCAACCACATCTGCCATTTCTGACGTGTATCGTGTCTGGAATCCAATTTCCAACACAATAACAATTAACAGCGAAAGAGAAAATTGTCATTGGCGGCCAGACTAGGTACACGTAGTCTTTTTCGGGTCGTTATAGCTTTCACGTAACACAAATTGCACAACACACAGTACTATATACTTCTGACACTGCTGCATTGTAGCTCCATGCTCTTTGCCTTTTCAATTACTGCAGTTGCTTGAGCAGATTGAAAGTTGTCTCACGCAGCAGTGTATTACGCTCTGATAGGTGTGGCGGTCGAGTACGAGCGGGCCGCGCCTACGGAAATCGCCCCATGCATTATTGGCCATGGGGGCGCTATTACCAAATATTGTACATGTACAAAGTTTAGCAGAGTTCTATTCATGTCTGTGACCCCAACCTTGTGCACCCCAACTACAGCATGCAGTCCAACTATAGTTGAGACTGGCCCAATTGCAGTGCGTGCATGAAAAAGTCATTTTGTTTACACCAGCAAATCTGTGCTGGCAGAAATTAGGTTTTTATAATGAAGTCCCATATTTTAGATGAATTATGTTAGATGTGAGCTGCATAAACTCGGGGAAGGTTGAGAAAATTTCTACAGAGATTGGCCAGCCCAACTTTACTGCTGCAGCACTCAAGCTGGGACTGTCCCGACTATAGTTGGGACAGACACTATAGTTGGGCGTAACGAGTCAACCTTTCTGGCGGCTTCAGGTACTGAGGTGAACGCACTTTTGCTATGCAAAGGCAACGTGCATTTTGTTTTCGCCTCCACTGACCAGGGTCACGCAAAGTCGTGTCCGCGAATATTCTTTCCTCCATAACCAAATTGTCTCTGTACCGGCCGGAGTCGAGTAACTGGGTTCGATCTGTTCTTTATCACGTTGGGAATAAATAGCTTGATTGTATTGCAAGGGCACCGTGAACATAATGAGCGCGAGTACTTTGTCACTGCTTCTTCGTGACGAGGAAATGATTTTCCCAGCCATCGTTTCCTTAATGCACGCACTTCAAATGGGTAAGCTGGAGCTGGTCAGGACATGTCAGGAGCCTTCCCTGTGCCACTGTGGCTTTGAAACTAGAAAGGGCATTTTCTTATAGACCCCTGCGTATGAAGTCACGTTAGAGTACCCCCTAGCCCCACAAATAGGGCTGGTGTGGCTCTCTTTTACAATCTGTCTCTTATCTGTTGGAGATTGAAATATGGTCACCGTCCACCTTGTGTGATAGAGATAACAGGGTTACCACCAAATCAGTTTCAGATTTTAAACTTTTAATTCGGACATACAGGATCGACGAAAGTGGTGACACTTTTTCTCATAACCACGCGAGCGGCAAATCTGTTTTTAGCCAGTATTTGCCTACCATAGAGATAAATCATGTAAATTGTATGATTGCTCATTTCGTTTTAATTTCTATTACTACCGGTGTAGTAATAAAGTTTGAGTGGCAAACAACAAATATTTTACACAAAATATCCCGTCTTTTCAAAGTTGATCTTCAAAAATTAATCATAGTTCATATTGTCATTGACACTTAGATTTAAGGAGACATGAAATCTTATTTTTGTGTTTTAAATTGTTGAAACAAGCTTTCTTTCAATGTTACTTTGACTTTTCATTAACTACTTTGTGACAGTAAAAGGGAAAAACTTTAACATTTTGGTTTTCGTGCTCATGAGATTTCCATATTCATGAGTTAAAACTTGATGTCATCCAAGGCAAACAGTGGTGTCCCCATACACTTAGCTCTGTGTACAAATGTATATTATAAGTTTCTACATTTTCTCAGAGTAAATTTCCACTTTTAACTCTTTATCATGCTAGGTCAAGTGTTTAGAAAAAATATTGTAATGGCAAATATTTCTTCAAAACTTTGTTTGGGTTCATTGTGAGTTTTAAGGATGGATGTTTGTAAACGCTCATTGAGAGATACATGCAGTACCGTGTGGAAAAAATAAAAAAGTGTCTCTAAAATATTGTGATGAAGGGATTTTCAGAGAATGGAAAAACTGCAGCTGCCTTGTCACTTTTAATGACAGGAAGTAGTTTAAAACACATAAATGTGGATAGAAACAAGGTTAGCTGAATGGCCAATGCATTTCTCCTATAATCATTAGCATATTTTTTAGTTAACTTGTGGTTCTGAAAAGCCGAGTGTGTTAAACAGTTTCCAGAGGTTGTACAACAGAGTACCATCCCCCAAACAAAGCACGAAAGAGAGGAACAAAAGCGTATACATTAAAAAGTACATAACAAACAAAACTAGAAGACTTGCAAAACTTAATTTGAATAGATTTTGAATTTTGTATCCCAGCTGTGATGGCAAAGGCTGTCGGGGGCTTGCGTGGTAAGTTTAAGATCTCACCACCTGCTACCAGCGGAGACCCAGGCTTTGAGAGGGGACTCAGGGCACAGTGAGTGCACAGATTTTTCTGATACAGTCTTTTACCTTATAAAGCCAAGTTTTATTTGATCTCCAGTAATCAAGTCCCAGATCTCGGGCTTTTCAGTTGTCAATTACATACATGTATTTAAGTTGAACGTAGATTTTTCTTATGGTCACTTGCAGGTCGCATGTACGTACTCATCATGCACATCTGCCAGTGCATTGAGCACAGTATGCCAATAATATGGTCAATGGAACAAGTAAACATTCTTGGCCTGGCCAACCTCATTCTTGGGACAAATGAGCGCACTGGTGGACTGACCCCATATCTCTAAGAGTTAAAGGGTCTGGAGTCCTGTAACTGAACCCTCCACACAGCTTGGTGCTCCTGTGTCATTTGGCCATCTGATTGAAAAATGTCTGAGCTGGCAGAAATTTCCTGAGTTGCCTGGTATTTAAACCATTTCATTCTTGCACCATCTGGGGGAAAAAAGCAGTACAAAGTACATGAGGAAATCACTAGAAACATAGAGGAATAGGTAAAGTTCCCACAAAAGAATCCAGCGGCATCAACCCGGTTATGAAAACTGTGCCAGTAGGAGCGATGTGACAGTGGGTTGAATCATAATCTACTTGTACATGTAGGTCTCTCAGGAAGGCAGACTAACCTTTGTAACTGCATGTTTGCTTAGCCAACATTAGCCACGTGGAAAGACATGATTCCAGTGGTAGCTTTTGATCTGATGGACCCAACTTACTCGCCACTTCTAATTTTTGTTTGTAGGCAGAACACTTTAGAGTTTTCGCCCATTTTTCTGATCCTTCTGTGGGTTTCGGCCAAGTATTTGAACCCGGGTAAGTGCTTGTCTGAAAAGTAGCTGGTAAACCCCAGTCCAAACCAATAGTATTGAGTCCCAACCAACAGTATTGAGTCCCTTAGCCCTGATAACTAAGGTTCCTAGAAGGGGTCAATCTATCTCGCTATTAGCAGAGAAAAACCTTCTTGTGACTCAACCCAACATGTACATTATGGGCATGGACAGGATTTTGTTTTTGGGGGAGTGGGGGTAAGGCACTCAGCAGCAGGCAGACAAACTCTACTGGAACGAGGTCAGTGCAGAGGACTTCCACAGCAAATTGTTGCGTTTTCCCCTCTCCTCCGTGTTTGTTGTTTCTTTTGTTATTTCCTTTTTTTTTTCTTGTGGGGGAACCCCTCCTACATACCCCCTTGAAGCCCAAGACCTGCACACCAGTGACCGATAACAGTTGGGCTCCTAGGGAACAAAGTGCAAAGAATTCCTTCCTGAAATCAGAGTACATAACCTGGTCCTGGTCTCTCCCATCAAATTTTCAAATTGCTGAGTACAGTTCTCCAGTGACTTGTTTCTCTCCTTCTTGTTGCTAGTCCTCGCAAGTTTGACTGCACTTCTGTACCTCAAGGCTCGCTCTGATTACTTCTCTGGGTACTGTGCCAGTGCAGAAAAGAGGTATGAATCCGAGATCACATAGCATCATGTAGCGGCGCAAGATGGAGAACTTCACCGTGAATGTGCCCACGTTGTAATCACACGGGTGCCATTTGAGCGAGTTCATGTTAATGCACAGGCACGGGTGCTGCACCAGGCACGCACACCACGTGCACAGGTGCAGCCCCTGTGCTTCTGCATTAACCTGCACTGTGCAGGTGTATCACCTGCTCGATTGGTACCCGTGGGGATTATACGGTTTGGCAGAGTTCTCCATCTTGCGGCGCTGTAGGACTTTTGGTCTGAAGAGCCACATTGTAGTATGTTTAGTGGAGAAATAGATTGTGAGGAACCACAGAACACTTCCCTTGATACGACATTTCTAGGGGATGGGCACAAACACACAGAAACTTCTCAAATTTCTTCATCCAAGCTTTAGACTAAAACCAATTTCCACGTTTCTCTAGAAGGTGATTCCTACATTCTTTTAGTTTGGAAAGCACAGAATGGACTTGTGCAGCTTGTTGCATTATGCTTCCCATTTCCTGGATGAGACTTGGGCATAAAGAAAAAATCCATGAAACATCTAGCAGAGGGTTGTAACAGTGAAACAAAAAATACTCTGGGCTTTCATCAACATCTGATCCTGCAAGTCCTCATTAAAGTACCATTTTGCTCGTGGAATTAATTCCTAAAGATTTTTTCAAGGATATTGACACGGCTTATTATTAATCCTGCAAGGGATTTTTTTAGTGACCTCTGTTCACCACTTACATCAGAGATTAGGTTGCAGACCTGCCAGAGAATTCTTATCGCTGAAAAGTACTCCACTAGCAACAGTTGAGAAGCCAGGTTTCCATGGATGGCTAAACAAACAAATGCCGTTTTCAAGGCCCATTAAGTATTATACTGTACCTGTTAATCTCAATCAAAGATTGTGGTTGTTCAAAGTTCGAGGATGAGGCCATGTACATGACAGCCACAAGTGAACTTCAACCCATGTGGCATGGTTCCACCCAAGAGAAGTAAAAAGGTCACGCTTAGTGACAACGCTCAATCTGTTCTTAGTCGCACTAAGGAGCAAATACTTTGACAATATTGCAAGCACCATGAACACGATGTTCATGGTGCTTTTTCAGTACCTGTCTATGACAGGGAAATGATTTTTGAAGGGATCAAAATGTTTGTCAAGAAAGGATTTCTCTCCCACGTGGTTCTGACGATATAAATTTTGCACTTGGTTTTTTTTTTGCACTCTCAGAAAACATAGCATGATCCTGGATGATTTAACCTCTGAAACTAAAGGATTTGGCGGCAAAAAACATATTTAAAACCACAAAAAGAACTTAATCCCAACAAGGTGAAATCCTCTAATTTCAATATGATTGGACACACATACACCCTGGTGGGTTTAGACCGAAGAAATCACACTACTGTTATTTCTCTCCCTGTAGACTCAGACCATTCAAACGCAGTGTGCTGATCATACAGGTTCTGTTGTTGTACAGTGCTATTGGCCTGATCCACACTGCCCTGACGGCGTACTTCAACATCAACATTCCCCAGAAAGTGGGTTTGGACAAGTATATTCCACTTGGTAAACTGTAACTCTCTGAAATAAGATCAAAACGACCGCCAGCTGTTAAGGTTCACATGATAAGTTTGCAGCTCATGGTGTTTTACTCATTTTCACAAGCAACGGTTCTCAAAACTACAATTCGAGGGAAAAATGAGATTTTCAGCTTAGTGGATACAGTGCCCATGCTGTGCCATTTTGTGAAAATAGCTCGAAGAAAATGTGTGTGCACTTCTTTGAAACCAGCATGGTTTCATTGACAGCAAGCTGAAGGAGTCCTTGTTTCAGCGCCCAATTAAAATAGCTGCCCAAGCTGCAACAAATTGCCCACGTACATGTAGAGCAAAAGATTTAATTGGGCATTGAACCCAAGGTCAACCTTCATCAGGTGCCAAAACTATTAACCCCAAAAATGTATTCAGTAATGTGTTTATGGTGATGCGACATAAAATAGGCCTGTAACACAATTCCAGAGCCAGATTTGTCTGTAAGAAAATCAAACATTCCGAATGTAACTGTGAGGCAAACTGAATGCCAGTCTGAATCATTCTGCTGAGGTTGGTTAGAAGGGTCAAAAATTAGTAAAAAAAATTTTTCAGCTGTGTAAAGAATTTGCTGGTAATGCATGCTACGAGCTTCTAGTTCAAGTCATTTATTGTAATAATTTTAAAAGATAAGATGCTGCTTTCAATAAATCAGTTTATAGACGTATGCTGTTGATTTATAGCATCACTTAACATGCTTAATGTGCAGACAGAATACTTCATTTCTTGAGACCTTTCTTGAAGGATGCCAGAAGCAGAATTGGTTGAGTTTTATTTTTCACAAATGTTAGAAAAATTTAAAGGAATCTTGCGAACTGAAATCAACTTTTCATATAATTTAATTCACTTCTTTTTTGTTAATTATCTGTTACATGTGGAATAAGAGTATTAATGCCCTGTGGTTTGATAATTGAAGATGAATGAAATAAAAGCAGTTTCTGATGACAGTGTTGGCTTGTTAATTGTTTCAATCTAGCCACTATTTTCCACAGTCATTACATGTTTTTGTTCCAAACACTATTTTGATTATCAAAGAGGAACACAATTGTACACATAACATATGTATATTATATGTTCAGTTGTTGCTAAGGTAGCAACATGCTGGAACACTGTCCCACAAAATCACTATTCTTTGCGAGCGAGCAAAAGGGCCAGTAACTGCAACTTTTGCAAATACTTGTATTTTTGTCAGTACCTCTTCCTACTAAAAGGTCACACTGAAATCATACCGCATTCGCCGGTTGAACACTCGCAGCACCAATGTTGAAGTTTTTGATTTGCATGATCAACACGTTGACTAAAAGAATCACTTTGAATGGATGTACATAATTTAAAAAGTTGAAAACAGCGATTTTGACACCTAGATTAATTCTGAAAATGTGTACTTTCTTAATCCATATCGGCTAAATCTTTGTATATAAGTTACACCTACATGTACCTAAAACTACATGTACCAGATAACAAATTCACAAATGTGAATATATATAACGTCGAGTGCCTGGCAGAAGGGCGTAAGCGCTTAGGCCCTTTTGCCGGGAAGCATGATCACTAAAAAACTTTTCCCGGCAAAAGGAGGTAAGTATGCAACTATTTTATTTTAATGAAATATGAAGATTTCTTGGCAAAAAGTAAAAAAAAAAATTACCCAGTCCTTTAATAAGTTGTTCAAAAGTTGCTTTTTGTACAGCCCAGGTTGATTTTGTAATAAATTATACATCTGTTTTTACTAAATGAAGAGAGTATGTTTCTTACGCCCTTTTGCCGGGAACATTTTTTCTGCTGTGATCATGTTTCCCGTCGAAAGGGCGTAAGTATCACTGTGTCTTCAACAAAGCGCGATGAAAGAAACCCCCCCCAAAAAAAAACACTTCCTCATCACAGCTATCCTCATCGAATTGGCTGTCATTTTTCTTGATAAGATGGCATTCAGCATGCAACAGTAAAATGACTGTCATGTGGGCAAATTAGGCGGTGCAATACAAACCATGTTTTGTTCATACAACACGGGATGATATCAAATTAGCACTGCCGCACATAGATGTAAGATAGTCTGGTACAAGTCATGCATGCTCTATTAGCCTGAAAGGCTTAGGGTGCCAAACATTTGAAACACACAGGGGGACACTACAGATCATCATCTTCAATGGTATGGCTTCCAGGGTATCTGTACTCACAGACTATTCGAACCTCTTAGCAGCTAAACCCTGGTTTGTTCATAACTAAACTGTTTGCCAGTAAGTTTGGAATTCAAGGTACCAGATTTTACTGTGCCTCTATCCAATACGGCCCCTTAAGCTTGAGTCAAGGAAAAAAGTGAAGGCACAAATTTTGAAAGATGTAAAATACAAAACAAGAAACCTATTTTATATATCATAGGGGAGGTTTGCAAAAGTGTCCGGTGATACAAAGGTTCGGACAAGCAGATGCTTACCATGTTTATGAAAAAAAATAAAAAATACCGTGAACTCTGCTTACATGCCAACATTAGTGATAAATGCTTCAAACGCACTCACTGGAAAGAAAAATTTACGATTCCAACAAGAAGTGAGACATTTCCCTTCGTGAAGAACACTTGGATTGTAGACTGGGCCATCCATACAATCCATTATCACAATCAGGAACAAAATATTGGCATAGTTTTGGCACAAAATATTTACTGTAACAGGTTACCCCCAGAAAACCCCACAAAAAGCTGTGCACTGGACATTACTTGCCAAGAGGACGAAGCCAACAGCATTATACATGCACTCACATTTTAATTCCGTAACACATCTCTTGTAAAGCAGGCCTTTCTAATTTGGTTTAAAAAACTGCTCCACCGAAACATTGTATTAATCATTTTAAAAGAGACCATGTCAAATACTAAACTTCATGTAATCACATGCTAAATATCTGTTCACTGCTCATTAGATTTTCTGGACCCAACACCTCAGCAAAATTGGCATAGGTTCTGGCCTTGGGAGCAAACTTATTTCCAAAAATAAATACAGGGCATGCAGTGTAGAACATCGCGTTAACAGTTATGTTGCTGACGTCACCTTTTTGATAAAAACAGGCAAGGTAAAAATTATTAAACAGAATTTTAGTATGTACAAAGGGAGGAGAGTTACTGTACACTGTGTAGGGCCAATATCACGGAGCCAATGATCACACATACCTGCTTAGCACAGACAGTTTTGCTTAGCAATAATTGGCTACCAGCCACAATGTCACGTGATGTACACGGCTTCCCAATGGTTCCCAGGACATTTTGGCTAAGCAAGAAAATTTGCCAAGCAATTTTCTCGGCCACAAGGCTCCATGGAATTTGGTCCAGAACATTTGCACTCATCTGGCATCTGAGTTTCACCGACTTTGCTAAAAAAAAAAAATCCTGACATCAGCAAGACTCAACTGGACTCATCTGGATTCAATTCGAGTCAAAGAATCTCGGGACTCAGTTGTTTATATCCCCAGGGCTCCATTCACACCAGTTGTAAGTGCAGCTGTTTGAAGTCTCAGGCATTGATGGGACTGGCCACCCTCGGAGGAGAGGAGGTCCCCACCTGCCCTGCCTGCATCCCAAGATCACGGGCCTCGATCTCCTTCTGGAGTTCCTCTACTTGCTTTTGCAGAAATGAGCGCAGCTCAATCAGGTCACGATTCCTCTGGTTGATTGGCTCCTGTGTTCATTTTTTTTTGGGGGGGGGCGGAAGGGAAGAGCAAAAGTTTAACTGATTCTCAAACCAAATACGCTGTTCTCTTCCTAGCTTTACAAGATGCAAACAAACTCACAGACCCAACAAATCTGTAAGAACACATTTGCATTGCTGAAGCTGAGAATTAACTGACTCTTTTTTGTACTTGCCACTAGGGTGGCCTAAGTGTTTCTTAATTTGTCACCTCCGCTGAAGCTCAACCACCTCCAGCCAGAAAAAGGGATATTCCCACAGGACAAGCTCCACACTTTCCCCATTTACTTCCACACAACAGAAATCTAACTTTGGTAGACTCAACCATTCCCTTATTGCTCCCGCTATCCTGAGCGTCATGTGAACCAACATTTGGGCCAGTTGAAGACGGTCTGGTTTACTTTTTTCAAATGGCCTGCAAAGTACGGCTCAAACATTCAATACCGTGCAGACCTGTACTTGGCAATACACCCAATATCTTAGACGGTGCACATCACAAAGATTCCTCATGAGAAAAGTCAGGGACCGGTGCTGCAAGGAAAATGCGATGTTGTGTTCTGCTGTACCCTCGCTCTGTGAAGGGGGGTAACTTTGACCTATGACCTACCTGGGGTCTCATTCTGGGGTTCCAGCGGATGTAATAGCCCGTCCACAGCTCGATCCGCCTCATGCTGGCCACGGGGAACAGCACGTGCTGGTGGTGGTAGGCGGCGTACATGGGATTGGTGAATTCCTCTCTACTGCTGTTGACGTAAGACCACAGTGACATAGTCTTGGTCTTCACTTGCTGCAAAAGGGGGTCAAGGGGCCAAAGGTTAATGACAATAAACCATTCTCACGAAGCGCATTCCACAAGTTTCGAGGTGCTGATGTCATTGTTGGACCCACTCAGTAGGCACCTTGACATTTTTGAAACCATCTAAGCTCCATGGAAAGTAAAAAGATTAGTGCTGCCATTTCAGACGGAGCATAGGCCAATCAACAATAGCCATCTCTGTCCTCAAAGGTACGCATTTATATCCCTGAAGGGAGAGACGCAAGTCGGAGTAAAGTAGGGGAGGGGAGGTCATCACATGCAAGCAGCTGGTGGATTCAAAATCCCTGACTTTAAGATCAGGAGCTACAAAACCTTAACCACTGGGACCCACAACCCCCACTCTTAATAAAAGTTGGGTACATAACCAGTAGGCAGTTTTGGGTAGGCCTTTACCAAGTTAAGGAGACCATTTCTTTGGTTAGGAAACTTAGGACCGAATTGTGGGGACATTTCTCTGTTCCCATAATGTTTTCACTCCCCACAAAATAGTTGAAATATTGTGTGTATGTCCCCACAACAACAGATCAAGAATGTGTGTTCATTCTGCCTTCTTTCGATCCCCTTTTTGAATGAGACTATGACATGAAGCTATCCACAAGAACGATGAAAGGGGAGCCTTTGTTATGTCGAGGTTTGGCACACGGTGAATTAAAAAAGTATCCAGGTCAACAGAGTGTTCTTAAGCAGGACAACAGACCAAAAAAGCTGAAAGGTGAGCAAAGGAACCCCCGCAATGACTAAAAGGGCAGACATGACCAATCGGAGGGCAGCATTAGCTCATGAATATGCACAAGGCAGACTCTTCACCTCCTTGACCCGATCTTTCATGCAGTTGTAGAGGAAGGTGCCAAACAGGCAGCTGTAGAGGTGGTCCAGGATGGTGATGAGAAAATGCTCGTTGAACTCAAATGCATTGGGAAACTGTGATTACAAAAAGACAGGTATTACGGTATAAATGCTCATCTGGTGCAGCTTTGGCTTTGCAGACTACGGATCTTTTCTTAGATTCATTCATAGATTAAGATTACTTAGTTGGCTAAGTAATCTTAATCTATGAATGTACGAGGACGTTATGCTTAAAAACACATATTAAAATTGTACAGCAATTCCTCTACCACTAAGCTCAGACTGTGTCACATCATTCTGAAGTTGACCACATAATTCATAAAAGGGATTCATTTCTTTGTGTCATGTGCACAACCTCCATCAGAGTATTTTGAGAACTTCTGTCGCTATTGAAGCCAGCAAATTCAATACGCCAGGTTGCCCCACCAGCAGCAGGCAATAAGTTTTTTTGTCTTGGATATGGAAATCCTGTCCTATTCAAGTGACGAGAGCGCTTACTTGTACTGTGATCTGCCACACGCAATCCATGAATTGTTGGAAGATGGGAGAACGATCCGCATCAGCGTGGTTCTTATCTCCATGCCCATGGCGCTAGGGACAAAAAAAAAAAAGAAAAACTAGGCAAATCAAAAGGCGATACAGAAGCAGAGGAATGAATTTCTCACTAAAAAGCTGGAAGAGTAGCCAGGTCTCTGCAGTGCACAAACATGACGAGATTCTCTTTTTGAAAACAATTTTAACATTTCAAAAACGATTTCCAATGTCCATGCAAGTTTCTGACATCTGCAGTTACTGCTATTCAGATGTCAAAATGGAGGACTTTTAGAACACAAGTAGAAAAAAAAACAGTTTTGAAACTTCTCTTTTTTCAGAAAAAAACATGCAAAATAAACGTATCACTGAAATATTTGCCTCAAAAGAAAAAATATTGCTGTCCATCAATATACAAATACACATTCCATCAAGAAAAACAGAGTCCCAAATGAATGTTTGGGGCTAGCTTATTTGTGCTAATCGCAGAAAAGATGCCTGTTTGGGTACAGCGAAATTGAACAAATTGAAACCCAGGATTCTAAAGTTTTAACATGGGAGACCAATGTCGAATGGGTTACCTGAGCAAACTTGTGGCCAACTTCAATCCACTCTTTCTCAATCAGCACCTCAAAGCCCTTGATGGTCCGGTAGTAAGGATCCAGCATAAGGAGAGCCAAGGCGGTCAGCTGGGAAGTCCGGTCCCAACCGTCGCTGCAGTGGACCACTACCGAGGTCTTCTGGCTCTCGATACGATCTGCGATGCGCACGGCCCCAGCTAGGACCATCTGATCAGGAGGGTATGTGCAGAGCATGTTGAATTCCAATTTAATGTTTTCATGAAGCCACTGCCGCCTCCTTTTTTTTAACTTAACGTTAGCAAAATGTAGCACAGAACATCCCTTGCTTATAGCACACATCTGATTCTTGAATCAAGCTGTTTATATTGCACATATAGCCAGTTATAGAAAGTATGCCCCTGCATGTCATGCGACAAAACTTGCCAGCTACTGACCATCCTAAAATCCAATTTAAAGGCAGTAGTCTAGTAATGCCCTCACCTTGATGTGTTCTAGCCAGTGAGTTGCTTCCAAGTTGGACAACCAGTGGCTATCATCTATGCTTGGGTAACAGATATCCTTGAGTTTTCGCAAACTGTGAGGAAAGGATTCAGTACAAACAACCAAGAATTAAGACTTGATTTCCCAGCTTTCAAAATCAGAGTTAAGATGCTCAGGACGGTAAAAACTAAACAAAAGAACTGAAATACGTCAATGACCTGGGCTAACCAATGGACAGAAAAGAATGTCTTGAAACTGAGTTTCGGCATTGATAAAAACTGCTCTACAACTTCTGATTTGGACTTTTCATTCAAGTCTGGCCATCCGCATTCGGTGATTCAATGGAAGGGAATTCAGACGGCCCATCTTAGCTTGTTTGCTTCTATTCACCTCTCTCTCATGACGTGGATGTTGTGAATGTCCAGGAAGATGACTTCAGCATTCTGGTAGGTATCTTCGTTCTCGTACCCGCCTCCTTTGGCCTGAGGAAGGAATAACACAGAACCATCCATCACAGAGCTTGCTCAGTTTTGAAAGTAGGAAATGAAGTCAGGAATTTCTTACCAACAAAGACGGAACAAAAGTGAGACTGTCTGGCTCACTGAGGGTGAATGAGTATATTGATCTCCTGTACTAAATTTGAAGCTTTATATCACTTTGGGGGCATAGTCCTATCACTGTCATTTGAAATACACCCTGGGGCACGGTTGTATAGCTGGTTATCAATTACCTTTTTTATAATTATGGTAATACACCAGAAACCACTGACATGAAATATTAGGTTGGACAGCAGACCCTGCATGCGATGAGGGGCACCCACCAATGGCAATACGTGACTGACGACACTGTGTTGTGCTTGACCGCTGATCAGTACAATTGATAAGCGGTCAAAATAAAGTCTATCTTCAAATTTGCCCGTTACTTTACAAAAGCCTGCTGGCTGTAGTTCAAAGAAGGAGCCACTGGTTTGCTGAACGTTGTTGAAATGTGACGGATTCTGGAAGCTCTCTAGCAAAAGAGACCGGGGGGGGGTTGACACTCACCTTGTTAGCGACGGCGTTGACACTGGGCCTGGCGTCCATGATGACCAGCTTGTGGGACTGGGCGTTGGCATCCAGCAGCATCTGGATGTACTTCTCGTCCTCCTTGCTCCGCCTCCCGCTGACGCCCACCAGGGGCTGGCTGCAGCGAGTGATGGTGGCGTGACTCTGAGGGTGGATCCACGACAGAATCTGATGCCAAGAAAAAGACAGTTACGAGCACAAAAAGGGGACAAGGTTGGGGATATGACAATTGCACACAGTGACTTTTTAAGGCTTTATTAAGATGGCTAAGGCGGCAAGAATTCTTGCCAAGATGGCTGTGGTTAGTATGTGAATCCAGCATTGGAGTTTTTGAATAATTCGACCTCTAGGAATCCAGAATTTGGGGTCCAAAACAATCCTGACAACTGACTTCCCTGGCAGAGTGAAATGGAGCAAAACTGCAGCCGTAAGCTGCCTTGCCACACATGGCACACCATGAAAATGTGACTTGACACTACAGATAGGAGACGTCAGAGTAAGGTAATGGCTACCTTGAATCTGACTCTAGCATCTATTTGTGACACGAATACAGCAACTGAGATTTTAAGGGAATCCTCATAATTTGTTTAATCTTGCTGCTTTTGGGGTATTACATTGCAATGATCTGTTCAGATTCTGAAAGAATAGAAAAGTGCTCTTAATGGCCTAGATCAAGGAAATCAGCAAGAGAAGTTTCTCTCATACACTGACCACAAGGAAAAGATCAACAAACTTTTCTTCAATACAGAGAGAAAAGTCTAGTTCCCGCTCTCCAACTTTCATAGGCTAAAGTCAATGACTTACTGGGATTCTGTTTTTACTTCTGAAAGCAGCCACCTGTCTGAGCAGCTCATCATCTGCTGCTGCTGGTACCGCAATCTAGACAAGGAGCAAATCAAACTGATTTACAGATGAATGACAAATTCACAATAGTGGCTCAACTATTTATCTTTACTTTTTCCTCATCACGAGGCACCAAATGTGGCTCTTATAGCTTTGTATGTGTCAAGTGTAGGAGCAATGAAATAGAGAATCAACCCTGATAGCTGTGATGGATACAGACATAATTATGTCTGAATCAACTGGCTGCGGCTAGCATTAACACACACGTCTATGAGCAGTGGCAGCAGCCACTTGCCAGTGGCTTTCCATTAATGTATGTGCTACTTCTAGCCACAGCCACAACTTTCAATACGGACACAGCCTACTTACCACTGCTGGGTAGGTATCACAGAACTGGTAGCCTTCATTAATTTTGCTGATTCGCCAACTCTCATTGGGCAGACCCTGTAAAATAAAATACTTCTTGATAATTTTTTTTCGGGGGGGACAGAGAGAGGTGAGAGTCAACCCACAATCGCAGCACGCACAAAACTTGTGAACCACAAACTGAAACTTTGCTATTGACTACATAAGGTGGATTCATAAATCACAGGTATACTGCTGCACGATCAATTTATTATCCTGCCAGAAGTACATGGTGACGTGTCACAAAGTATCAGGCCATCGAGGCATGCACAGAAACACTGACCTTCCTCAATTGAGCAAAATTTCCCCAAAACTCCCTCGGTGGATTTTGGTAGATATACGTGGTTTAAGGTTAATCTGGAGTAGGCCTCCTGTGCAAGTATGAAAACTAGGCCTGTCTGAGTCATATTAATGTTGAAGCCAATACCTGTCTTTTCAACTCAGCCATGGGATCGTACACAGCCCAGCCATCTTCACTGTGGAAATTTTTGTACTCAAAGGCAAAAAATGGCTGCAACAACAAGACAACAACAAATAAATTAAACACTTTCTTTGACAATGATTCGCATAATTACCATTCATTTGTGTGTTTAAAGCAAAATGCAAGAGTAATACCAAAATTCAAGTACAGCCGACGTGAATGGTCAAAATGGTGAATTTCCTTGAGCTTTCCAGAACGCAGTGGTAACATTCTGCTCGTTTCACATGACAGATGCTAAATTTCAGGATTTTCAAAGAGAGATATGAAATTTCGGAACTACCCCGAATTGCAGGTATGTCCAACATTCCTGAAAATGTTCTACAAATTTCCTTGAACTGTCAGGAAAAACAAAAATTTCCTGACACATAAACAACTTCAGGACTTTCCTTGAAAGGAAAAAAGTCTAACGAATTTCCAGGAGTGGTCTCAATATCCAGGATGTGTTCAAATTCATAAACATATTAGAATTCTAAGTAGTGTCCAAAAATTTACAAGCATTTCTAATTCAATGACATGTCAAACTTCAAAAAAAGTCTTCAACTTCACAATTTGTTCAAATTTTTGAAAAATGTCCGGAATCCAAAAATGAGCACGCTTCTTCATAATTTCGAAGGAGTAGTACTAAGAATACAAGGACTTTCAAGGAATTCCTTGATATACATAAGCCCCCTGAATAAAGGCTTACCAATCTGTTCGATACTGGGAAGGCGTAGGTCTGAAGTTTGTCATAGACAAGTCGCCTGGAGTGGTTCTCCTGTTTATGGGCAAATCTCAAATTACGCATGTCCTGTAAAAAAAAGAAACAAACAAACCCCATTAATCCATTCTTTACAGAGCTGGTTGGATCCGCAATGAATTTTTCCACAGCACTGAATTTCCAGGAGGTTTTTTCCTCTGATGATGCCAAGTTTGGGAAAGACTGGTCACAGAGCAGCCAAAAATCTCAAGAGGGGCGGACACCATTCCCCTCATGAGAACATCAGAAAATGGATCAAAGGAACTGATCAAATCTTGAAAAAAAAATCAAGATATGTTAGGTTGAACTTGAAATTACACTAAGAAAGTCTGTGAATATTCTATGATTACAAGGGGATCAGATGTCTGGTGGAGCGAAGTTTTCGGAACTTAGTAACCAACCTTGCAGAATATCTCCAGACCGTATGAGTTCTCCCCTCTACTTGTGGAGCCACCAACTTTCTCCACTCGGTAGATGCTGCCCAGGGGAACATCAAGAATGAATGGTGGCTCCTGAATGCAATTCAACCAAACAAAACAATCAATATACAACCAATTCTAATGCTATGGAATCTTTGCACCTGTCAATACCTCAACATCTATGACCCATCTGACTATGCAAGGTCCGGAGAAAATGAACTGGTCTTGAATTGACACTAAAATATGCTTCCCCCAACAATGACTTACAATCAAAATCTTAGACCAGACAATGTCTTCCTTCGTTCAACCATAAAAATAGCTATCTACTATACCACAGATAACACAAATTTATGGGTAGCCCTAAGTGGTCTATAGTTTTTGGGACATTTATATGCATTATTCAGTGTGTTTTATGTTACATGCCAGGTGTCATACATCTAATTACGATATTTTATTGTACATGTACAGTACATGTTTTTTTATTTGAAACTGTTTTGGCTCTTAGGCCATCAGTTTCAATCCTTTATGTGAAATAAGTTTTGAAAATATCTTCACAAGTCTTTGCCAAGTTGCATAAATTCACTGAGAAAAACAATTTGGGGTTAGTTATAAGTGATGAAATGAGATAAAAAGATTCTAAGTTATTAAATAAATGGATTCCCAACATAAAACCTACATGTATATAATCAACAGGCCCGCTGACCAATAACTGAATATTTAGTTACATGTATAAATTAAAGATCTGCAATGAAATCAAACCTTATTTCTTCACACGCAACACAACTGTATGGAAAGATTTCAGGAACCAAACCAACCAAATTGACCACAACAAACAAAGAAAGACAAAGAAACAGAACAGCACAAACTCGAACGTAAAACCAGCACAACAGAAAAAAAGAACCAACTACAAGAGCAAAACACTCACCCTCTCAACCCCTTTAAAATACAACTTGTAGTTGGTGATACAAAGCGTTCCCCTGACAGGCCCGGTGAAAGGGCACAAATAAGTCACATCCTTCGCTGCAAACAAGGGAAATAAAGAGCCACACCAAGATAAGGTACAAGGATAAAAACAACACCAGCATGACGCCCTTTTACTGTAACATTTTTTAAAAAGAGACTTTTCCAACAACACTGTTGTGTCAAACTGACTCTCCTTTTCCCCTTTTTTCTCTCATTCTTCCAGTTGTCAGGTTCCCTTTTGTGATAATGTGGAGGTCGATATTTTATTAATGACATGAGGCAACTCAATTACTTGTGTGGATTTACATTTGACATTCGCAGTTGATCAGAAAAATCCCTTCACGGTAACACCAATGTAACACTGCCCTTTCAATTACAGCCAGGGAAATGGCATGGACAACTTCCTATTGCTTCCTTAGATGCTCATCTTTTCAGCAAAATTCTAAGAGAGCGACCTGAAGGACTATTTAGGCGATGTAAACCTTTAATATCGAGAGTTGCATTACAGTCGTAAGACTGGTATGACCTTACGGAGCTTAAATAAGACCTGAAGGTTTGCACAGGGGGTATAGGTAAGTCAAGTCGTTTGCAGTGACACCATGCAGCTCCAAAGATCTCTTTTGTGAGCATGTGCAACTCCTTGTCCCAAACATTGAGTAAACCGGCTCCTTTTGGAGCCACGCATGCTCACAGAGGAGTTCTTCCAAGCTACCTGGTGCACGGTGTCACCGCAAACTACTCGCCTTGTGGAACTTGATCTTTCAAAAATGCACAAGTACCGGTATTAGCAAATTCTATTTAAACACTTTCCTCAAGTGAATGTGGAGGCACAGCACATACCTATTCCTTCAACTCTCTCTCCCAGAAGGAGTGGCACATCTTCTGTCTGTGCTGGCTTGCCACCTGATGACTACAAGAGACAAAAAAGACACCGATTCAATCATTTAGTTAAGAATTCCTGTTTTCAACAGAATGTACACATATCTGTAGCCTGCTTCACATCAACTGACTCTGACTGACAAATTGACTGATTCTGGCTTAGAGTAACCCACATTGCAAGCAGATACCAAAAGGCTGTCCATTTGGAGTGTATGGTAAAATGCCTGAGACCAGCAGCTGAGTTTAACATCAAGCCACTGGTGCTTCTTCGCCAAACTGTGGGCTATCCTTCCTTGACGGGGGGGCTGGAAGGGGGAGACTGTCCCACCCAAAAGGACTGATGGTTGTCTTACTTCGCAAATGGAGCAGCGACCGTCCATCCAGACCAGGTCGTGCAGCCCAATGTGCAGGGCCAGTGGCTGCAGTGTGTCGTTGCCTTCGTCTGCTTCATCCGAGCTACTTGTTCTGGTGTTAGCGGCGCGATCCATACCATTCATCTCTCGATGTCAGTGGCTGAGTGAGACTTCTTCAAGCTGGAACCTTACAGCCAGACAATGCAATCAATTCGATATAGTATCTGCACGCAAAGTCCTCTGAGATGTCCTGACTTGGTAAGTAGCATCAACAGACTGTCAGACTTAAATATTGCGGAAGACTGAAACAACAACATGAAATGGTTTTGCTGATTCCTCCGAAACTTGGTGACGCTAACACAGAAAGTATAAGTCTCCTTACTGAATTTGCCAAGCCAACAAGCCTTGCCGGAACCATCAGAGTTTGGAACTCCACTGAGTCTGAAGTCATCTGAATCAATCCAATGGAAGTGCAAACAGAATTTCAAGCACAATGCAACTCTGCACAAGTCTTGGAAGAAGTACAGGTAAATTACTTCTTAAATGCAACTTGTGATTGCTTTGGCGAACACTTAACTCAGCAAGCCTTCATGTACATGTACGTCTAAGGCAGAGTTTTGAAATAGCAGACCCTTGTCAACCAGATGACGCTGGCTACAGCACCTGTCCGCTAACCCTGGAGAAACAACACAGTCTCTAGGACTCTGCAAAGGTGAGAAGTCCAGTTTGCATCCAGTCCAATTCCAATGGTTTCCAATCAAGGTCTTGGAATGTCCAGCTCAAACAAACTGAGCTGCATGGTATCGGCAGATTTATACAGCACAACTGTAATCATCAAAGTTGTACACTACATGCATGGACCTGTGAAGAACGGCTCGACAAAAACACGAAAAATCCTTGGTCATCCGTGTGCGAGCACATGTGTCTGTACGCTGGCCCGGCCGGCTGCACACACTGAGTGAGTCAAGTACGAGCCAGGAATAGACCCTAAAAGATGGAGTGAGGGCTCACAGACTGCCGAGCCATAATTAACAGAGGAAGGACTTCTAAAAGGCAACCCTTTGGGGGGAAAGCCAGTTGTCATAAACAGGAGCTCAGCACCGGCCTCGGCTGTCGAGACTTTTTTGTCCCTGCCGATTGGATTTCAATCATTTTTGCAGTGCCTTTTTGTTTTGAACAATTCTTGGAGTGAGCAAGGAGGATGAAAATATGTGGCTTTCTGTTACAGCAGATTGAATATTTCCGCCCAGTGCAACATCCAGATTTACCTGCACTCTAGTTTTTGGACTGATCGAAGATGATTGACTTCTTGGGTCACACCAGTCCAATCGACTATTCAGTCAATGGGACTTGAGCCAGTAAACATTCATGTTACTCCTCAAGTGCTCTTCCCAATGAGGTACATGACATGTACTGCATCCATACTGGCACCTAGCCCTAGTGGCATGTTGATCCTCATCCATTTCCTCTTTGAGTGCGCTTCTCTGTACTTCAATGCTCGCCGAAATGTACAGGTCTACACGTTATAAAGTAAACTTCTATTGCTATGGATACGTGGTACAGTGACTCAAGAAATATGTATCAGTATACAAGTACATTTCTAGGATCATATCAATAAAACCAGTGCTGGTATTGAATATACCTTGATCATGTACACATATATGTACATGTTTGTTCATGAATCTGAATGCCATGTACGTGTATATGAAGTAACAAATATCTACAGTACACAAGTGCTTGTCAGGTCACAACAAGCATGCCTACTGGAAAAGTGAAAGCGCACCGAAGAAACTCCTGCTGGTGGGAACAGACTATTTTACTGCAAACAGGAAATTGGATTTACCGCCCAATTTCACTTGAAAGTCCTGTTTTCCAGGGAGGGTGAAGTGCCCTATATAAAAACACAAGTACAAGTGACTAGGCCTACATGAACATGGTAATGAGGATCTTCTGTTTGCAACAAACACTTGACCCAGTGCTTGCTGAAGAAACAGCCCCTGTTTTATATATTCAAGTTAAACTTTGCATCAGGTTTAAACTTACATCAGATATAAAAAAATTTGCTTTTAAATCCGAATCTTAATTGGAGTGTACGTTAATTCTGTGTATGTGGACCACTGGTACAAAAAGGGGTGTATCAAATCAGGGGCAGGGCAAACTGGAAACTCCCTTCCGCGAACGATGTTGCCCTGTTTTTTGAAAGAAAAGAGAGCACCGACATTTGAGCAGTACTAGAATCTTCCCCAGGTGGAGGAGATGTTGCTACAGGAACGCATTACAGATTAAACATATTTGGATGCTAGTTTCCAGACAAAAATCTCCACTAGCACTCCCTCATCTGGACTCGAAACCTGCATGTACATGTAAGTACATGTATGCCATTGCAATAGATGAACTTGTAATGGGATGCAGCTCAGATGTCACTGAAGTCACAGAGGTTACAGTCAGGACACAATAGTTTATTTCCTGGTGTGGCTGATACAAAGTACTGTTTATTTATAATAAACTTACATAATTCTTAATACAAGGGGAGGACGATGGTTAAAGGAAGACAGTGTAAGTTCCAACAGTGTTTCCATTTAAGCGTTAAGCACACAAGCCTTTACACTGCTTCAAATTTTCAATTTCTTTTTTGTTATTTTTTCTTTGAGTTCTGAATGGTGGAATGACCTTACATGTAGGTCTTCTGTTGTTTGTCATGTACATGTACATGTACATTGTACAATCTACTGGTACATGCACATTGTATACAATAACCGGACCTTATCATCAGATAAGATCCTTGGATAAGATCCAAGGATAAGATCCTTGTTTAAGATACAAACTTGCTTTCAACAGTGCTAGTCCCCGGTAAGATGCATGTATTATTTATTGTTCATATTGTATTGAGTGAGGTCATGAAATACTCGACTTGATGTCTGCGGCAAAGTTTGCTTTAATTTCTTGAAAATGTATGGGAAAACCACATCGGGTGTTACACTGGTACTCATGTGGGAAAGAGTTCCGTTTACCGGTATGGAAAACAGTTGATGCCCCTGTGCACAAACCTATGAGGCTTGTCTGAAAAAACCCTAAGTGTTTTCTAAGTACATGTAAATGCTGTGGAAGTTTCTTAGCTAAATTCACTTTTTAAATTAAGACATGTTATCCCTTTCTGATAGCTGTTTAATAGGGACGGGCATAAACGAATGAGGGCGCTGTTCATTTAGGAACTCATTTTCTTAATAGAAAATTGTGGTTAAAATTTGTTATTTTCTGCATGCTGTAACTCCTCTATTTACATGTAATTTCCAATGTCACAATTTTTGAAATTTCGAGTTAAGATAGCATAATTTAATTCATTGAAATAAGGCAGGAGTAACAACTAAGATTTTATGGAAATATGAATTGTAAGCTTCTTGGTCAAACTCCACACTCATTTTTGTGTACAAAGTAATCAGTTTGCTCTGCATTATACCAGTACCTTTGTGGTACGGCCCCTAATGTCACACGCTTTCATTTTTCACTTCTTGTATCTTAACAGAGCAATATTTTAAGCTCAAATTTCACAGTCAATGAAACTTCACCAAGTTCACCAACTTCTACTACTGTGACTCATAAATCTCGATTTTCATAGTGTACCTGCTACAAAGTTTGGATGGGATTCTGTTTAAGCCCAATTATCTGATTTTTTTCCGATGTGCGAAATGAACTCTTTTAAAATGTGCCCCCAACTAGAAAAAGAAGTTTCTGATAAATTTGTGGATGGGTATTTGAGTGGCAGTAATGATGGTTTAAAAGAATTTATCCACTTGAAAGGATTCTGTAAATGTTTCTGTGGGATTTTCTGAGATTTTTTCAAGTGCGCCCTATTAGGGAACACTCGGCTGATTTCGTGCCCAATTTTTGGCTACCAACAGTTTCTAATTTCGAGTGAAATTTTATGACACTGAAATTGTTCACAAAGGTTTAACATCATGTACCATGAAGGGAATACCAGTTTATAACTAAATGAGTTCTAAGTTTCTCAAGAAAGAGGTTTGGCAACGCTGTATGAGGAAAGTCAAGTGAACGTCGAAGTGCACCATGTTTGGGGATTCCACCATCCAAAAAAACATCTTAAAACATTCCTGCTTCAAATCACTTTTACTTGCTTTGCAGAGTCTGATCCAAACTTATAGTACGTCAAAATATTTCCTATCACATTCTCTCCAAGATTACTTCAAAAACAGACAGAAAGAAAAACTTGAAAACTGATTAGCCTCCCTGGCTGTTGTACAACATTTTAACCCTAACCCCCCAAGGGTTGCTGGCCCTAACCTTCCCCATTCACACAAAGTTAAAAATGGGACTTTGTGCGCAGAGGCTGTTGGACTTTGTTTTTCTGAGATATGCCAAACCAAATGCAAAAGCCAGCTGTTATGGGCCTACCAGACCTATCCCCACAGAATTAACCACTTTACCACCGTTTAATTCTGTGCGGTTGGGGAAGGTTAGGGATGAGGGAAAAGTAGTGTTTTCCACATGCAGGTACATGTATGGAACTCTTTCCCTCATGTGAATGGATCACGACAATGTGACACACACCGATAAAAGTGTGTCATGACACCAACACATTATAAAGAAGCCAATCACAGTAACAGTGCAGATAACTAGCACGACTACATGTAAACTATCTTTTTTAGACAATGACGATTTAACGCATACATGTAGAGCTACATGTACATGTATAAAAAATATACAGCGCTGACTCATGTACCAAGTGATGCCAGCTGGGCACATCCATGTTTGTGCACAAACCCATGGAAAGCTCGAAATTTTGTGCGGCTTTTGTATTTGGACATATATCTGCGTCTGTATTCTAAAACATAAGTCAACAAAGCTGATACATATACATAAAAGAAATGAACGCACAACCAGTAAGTGAACATTTCATTTTGTTCTGCGTAAACAACACAAATGCGTGCAAAGTGTGCACTGCTGGTGATTTTGCCATGACTTTTTAAATTAGATTCTAGCGGTAGGCCTACTCAATGCGCATTACATTTCTGATTTGAATGTTCTACGACTTACATGCACATGGACTCAAACTGTCTGGCCCCAGGACGGCGTCAAATTTTCTCCGGGCAGAGAATGAGAAGTTAGCACTCTAGTAATTTAATATAGCTCTATGATTTAACACTACCCCCAGAACTGTGGGGTCCGATGTCTACCCCGCTCTCACGAACCCCTCAGAAAACAAGCTTTTTTTGCCAAAGGCTCTACATGACCTTCAACGGGACACAAACAGGGATTTTATTCTAGTTATGTACCCATAGAAATGCTGCTTTATTTCCCCCAAGTTTTATGTACGATACATGTAGCTTACATACATGTACCTTTGTTCTGAGTACCAAGAAAAAAACGGGCCAAAACCATGCCAATTTAAAAAAGGTACAAATATTTCCCGATCAGTGTCCGAGAGTCGTGCGGTTCACATGTGTACTTGTAAAGACAAGCTGCAACCAAATGGTTGACTACGGCTGCGATCGATACACAGGACATGGAAATCGGCTGCAGCTGCTTCCAGTGAATGTGTAATTCTTAGCCATGACTGGAATGATTGGTTGAAATGGCAGTTGGCTGCACCGCGCTGGGGATCACACGGACCAATCACAGGGCTCCTCATTATTTATGCCTAAAAAGGCTGGAACAATAAGCAACGGCTGTTGGGTGCCATGTACGTGAGCACTGATGCTGGTCAACGTGGTCAGCCATCATTGCATGAAATTCAGAATCTTCACTGTACAGTCCACTGTGATGGTGGGAGTTACGTCGTGTTTTCATTTACTTCAGAGTTTATAAATTAATGTCAGTTGTAACTTGTCCCCCAAAAATAATTTTAATAAGGAAAGCAACCACCCCCCTATTTAAAAATGAGACCAGAAACATTTCTAAAAGAAATAAAGACATAAGTTTTATTAAGTACGTCCTCCATAAACGTTACTAAACAAAGTTATCATTCCCCACAAAATGAAAGGGTCCCATAACATTTTCTCAGAGCCATAAGAATAAACTGAAGTCCCCCCCCAAAAAAAATTACAAACACAATTTCGAGTTAAGTAAAGTCCCCCCCAAAAAGAATGTTAATAAGAAAGTCAAGCTGGTAAACGGTCGGGTTGTTTGACATCCGTCACACCCGCGGCAGGCAAGTGCAAAAAATTATGCCGACGCTCGAGATCTCTCCAGGAGGTTTTGAAGATTTTTCCTTGATATGTTTGTCAAATCTAATCTTAAACATACTGAAAAGGAAGAGCTGGAAAATTACCGGTAAAACCAAATTACGAACATGAAGGTACGAGTGGTCTTAACTAGAGGTACACGTACGAGTTGTCCAAGGAACGAGTCGCACAAGGTACGAATTGACTCGAAAGCTTGTGTCATTGCTTTGAAAGAGTGGTCACGTTGCGACAGCCCGTTCACGTGCATGGGACTCAATGGCTGTTGCTTGTCATTCCTGTCTTTCGGGTATAAATAATGAGGAGCCCTGTGATTGGTCAGTGTGATCCCAGTGCTCCACAACCAACTACCATTTCAACCAGTCAGTCCAGTCTCAGCTAGGAATTACACAGACGTGCAAGGAAAGCTGCAGCCATTTTCCATGTCCTGTGTATCAATCGCAGCCGTAGTCAACCATTTTTGGTTGCAGCTCGTGTTTGCAAGTACAAGTATACATGAAACCGCATGACTCTCGGACACTGATGGGGAAATGTTTGCACTTTTTCGGAAATCGGTTTGGGCCCATTTTTTTTCTTGGTAGGCTACTCAGCACGAAGGTATGTAAGCTGGGGGAATGGAGCAGCAGTTATTTGTACAAAACCAGACTAAAATCCCTGTTCGTGCCCTGTTTGGGTTACATGGTTAAACATGTTGTTAAACGTCATGTAGGGCAAAAAAAGGCTTTCCTTCTGTGGGGTTTGTGGGAGCGGGATGGACGTCGGACCCCACAGTTCTGGGGGTAATTTAACGCCACATCAGAACCAAAAATAGACGCTTACATGTTCCGTACCTTTGCGTCATCTTGCTCACGATCAAGACGATCAGCCGCAGGTTCCGTGGAGGCGTTGTCAGCCGATGGTCCGACCTGCGCCCGCGACACAACTGGGATGGGAAGCGTCACGTTGTCCAAACTCGACCCACTGGCTTGACGAACGTGTTTTGATGGCTGTGGTGACTCTTCCACTTCTTCTAGGCTTCCATTACTCTCCATTTTAGTAGGTTTTTTAGCTTTGAGTATTCAACTACAAATCCGCAACACGGAATTAACTGGATAGATAGACCAAAGGCTTGGAGTTAGAGTTTGGTTAGTCGCGGATGCGCCCTCACTTGAAAAATTGCTGTAAATGAACACGGGAGGGCGGGCTCCACACACTATTGTTCGCACCACAGACTTTAATAAAAGTGGTTGGCACAGACCACACAAATATAAACTCACAGATATTGTCTGTGATTGTTGGAAATGCGCACTCGATGAGCACATTATATCGAACTACATGTAATTGTTGCATTATATTTTTGGATTTTTTCGGACAATTGCATATAAAACAGAGGCTGCGCTAGGGGTAGGGGTAATAAAACTTCCAATCTTGCCCCCACCCCATTACCTGAGCCGGATACGCCACTAGCACGAAGTATGTATGAGCTACATGTATTTTTTTTACCAACGTTACAGTACTCGTGCGTATAATAATAGTCCATTTCTCAATGAGTAATACATTGGGGTACGGATATGAAAAGCGGAAATTCATAATTGGGTTGAGGAAAAAATTGATAAAGATAACAGCTGGCACACAATTTTTTTCTAAAACAATATCGAGCCGACTTAACTACAGATCGTCCCTGGGCGTTGCGGCGGGGATGAATTCAAATTTTAAACCAAGTAAAAGGCTCATCAGAAAATTTAACTGACTAAATCTTTTATTTGCAATATTACTTGCCCAATATCATCGGTCAATATAAAAAGATTCACCATTAAACAATTACTAAAACTGGATTGGCGATTTTTTTTCAAAAGCACAGCAGCATTCAAGCGTCACTACAATTAGGCACGAAAACTGAAGGAGGTTCATTCTGAAAGAAAAGCGAATACAAACGCATTTACCTTAACGGCAGATCAAATATTCGCTCTGCTTTTTCAAAAAAAGTTGAACAAAGTTTAACTCAAACGAATTTCGCTGGAGACGTTTTGTGACTTCAAAATCGCTTCGCTTTCGTCTGAGGTATAGGAGCTGTAGCTTTTAGAATATTTTTCAGCCTTGCGAATAATCTATTAGAAGTCCTTGTGCAAAGTATGACTCTTTATCGTGCAGTGCTGCGACCTTTCCAAAGATGGTTACTACATACAGTTTCAAATAATAATCGCATCATACTAACGGTCTTTTTTTACCTCCATGACCTTATTAACACCAACGTTCACAGGATTAAAGGAATACTCCGTTGACTGATAAAGGGTTGATAAAATCAACTTGATTTAAATCACTGATTTAGATCAAATAATGTTTAACTATTGATTAAAATGAACCTGTTTACTTTTTAAAACACTTGCAAACATGTTGCAATTCGTGTCAACCGAAAATAATTGTTTTCACATTTTGCAACAGGTTTCTAAAATCTCAAATAAAAACCATATTTTCTAAAATTTCATTTTACACAAGTACACCTGTACAAGAGACATTCCGATAAATTTCGTTTTCACTTCATATCACTTGCTATTATTTTGATTTAATCCTAATCAATTTTTGGATTCACAGCACAAATTATTCATCATCATGATATATTTAGTTACCGTGATTTATATGGGCCGACTTTGACTTAAACGCAATAAAATTATTTGTGTTCAAATGTGCATCCGGGGTTGCCACACGCTATTTTAAAGGGAACTGAAAAGTATTGCAAATTAACTGTGGCTATTATTTCAAAATATCAAGGGGCGGGGAATATAGGCTTCGACCCGGAGGAACTGTGTCCACCCACAGTAACGCCACTGTACTAACTGTTTGTGACTCCCGACTAGTTCTATTGTTTAGAATACTTAAGGGTCAGTAAGGGAATGAGCGGGAAAGCCTGTACACTGCCTATCAGAAGAAAAGCTGTTGTGTAACTTCCAGTGTTGTCGTATATCAAACCTACGAAAGGAATAAGAAAAAAGGAGCTCAGAAATTGTGGACTGCTGCAGTATGGTATGGGGTATCACACAATTGATTTCATAGTATAGCCAAAGGGTTTAACCATGAGGGCGCTTCGCTCTTTCACCTCACCTTTCAGGACTGGGATGTTTATGATAGAGTTGGAATATTTAAAAACAATAACAATGATAGAAAGTCACTGACCTGGAAGAAATCCTAGTGCGAATGTCAAAACAGCAACTTTTAGTCCGATCCAACCAAAGGCGCCAGCCAACAGCTCAACTCCAAGAACCTGCTTGACCAGAACATCAGTCTGGCAGGAAAGAACTCCATCGCAAAACAAAATCACCAATGCTGACGCCAGCATCGGCCAATAAGAAGTCAGCCAGGGAGATGCAAGGTACGACGCAGAGCTTGCCACGGTACACACCGTCACTAGGCTCCAAGAAGATATCACTCCGCGGTCTGTGATAAGTCCCTGAAGTACTTTGGCTATCAGATTCGCAACGCCTGCGATGGTCACAAAAGATCCCGCTTCCTCCAAAGAGAATCCGTTGGATTGTGCCTGAGACACGAAATAGACAATCCACATAGTGTACGCGTAGATTGTACAGCATGATATGATGGCCACCGACCAGTAACGTGCGTTGTATAGTAGCTCCAAATCAAAACTCTTGAAGACGAACTTCCAAAAAGAACGAAAGCACGATTGGCGTGGAGAATCACGCTCGGCGTAGGGAACCGTTTGGTAGTCATGTAGCTGCAGTCTTGGCAAAGTAGCCGCCATAAGGGCGCCGCACGCAATGTTATGCATTGTTAGAGATCCTACTAGCAGCATGGTTCCCTTCCAACCATAAGTATTCAGAAAAAGCTGGACCAAAGGCGCAAATACGAACAGTCCAACAGAGTAGCCAGTCCGTGCGATACCATTGGCAGTCGCATAGTTCCTGGTGAAACAACGACCTACAGCCTCCTTTGCAACAACATTTGACACGCCTATGGCAGTACCTTGAAGAAAGAATGTAAAAGTACAGAGTTCAATTTTTCTTATGGTGTATAAACGTCCTAGTAACTGGTTTTCCTTCCACTTCCATGCAACAGCGAAATAGACGCTGAAAGCAAGTTCGAGCGCGACCTCTAGTTAGCCTCAGTTTGACGTAATCGAACACAAGATGGCTGGAAACTGACTTTTTGGGACGGGTGACCAATGGGTTGAGTTGTATCGATTCTCGATGTTCCGGTTTAGTGCAAGTAATTAGGCCCACATGTCTATTAAATACTGATAGAGGGACCAACTAGCTTAAAAATATCCTCGCAAAATGACGACAACTGCTCAACTGTAAAACTCTGCCTTGTTGGCAATTAAATACTATTTTGCTATCCCTTTAAATTTTAAACGTGTTTATAGAAGCTAAGCATTTTCCTCCTCCTGCAGTTGAAGTGCACCCTCACCGATAAAGAAGAAACAAGCTGGTGGTTTTGCTCGTTGCCCAGCGCCAACACGGGGCATTTGGGAAGAGCAAATGCATCTCACAAATTTTTGTGAAGGAAATACGTGACACGGGGTCACAGTTGCAGACTCGCGGAGCATTGTGGGTTGCTTGCTGCCAGTTGCTAATGGTTTTTGTACATTAAGTGGGTGCCCTCAGAAAGGACCAGGCTGGCCTCGCGTGTTCCACAAGGTCAGTTTTCTTTTCAATTTCACAAGGGTTAGCCACGCCATTTTGTTTTAAGTCCTCCTTCGCTGAAAACACCCCCAAAATGGCAGTCAAACTAGGCGCCGAGCCCTGAATGTAGCCGCCCGCCTCTGTGCAAAATAGGCCGGCAAGTCGGCAGTTTCTGTGAGCGAAATATCCCAAGTTGGGAGCCACAAGTGTCAAATTCAAGATTTTATAGAGAAATATCTCTGTGATCCCTAATTATGATTGTGGCACCTTTTATTTCAAACAACCCGTGGGATCTCAACATCCTAATGAGCTTGTGCTCAATGTAAGGTACCGGGTAGGCCTACCCTTATTCACTTGTGTAAAGGCGACTCATGTGTAAATATAATTATGTCATTATGATGCTGATCATATCCAGCACTAGCGCAAAAATACCGACACGTCCGAAGAAAGGTCCGAAAAATCCATACTTCTGATGGCACTGTATTATGTTCAAGGTTGTGAAGGCCATTATGGTTTACACAAGAATGTTTACAAACGGAAGTGACTTCTTGGTCACAGGTCGTGCAAAATTTGGCTCAACTGAGCCATTTACCCTTCCCAGCGCCTGTGTGGGCGAGGCATCAACGAGCGAAGCTGATGAGATGGTCTCCAAGTGAGCTCGTGCACATGTCTGGCATACACGAGAATGAAGATCAACATTCATATACATGTAGACGTTGTGCACGACAGCCATCTTCCCGGCCAGTGCTTTTGTTATGGGGGATATACACAAAAGATCTATACTAATGTGTATCTCTTTGTAACAAAAGCACTGACTTGGAAAATGGCACCCATGCATAACCCCTGTGGAAATCCGTCATGCTTGCTCAGGACCTGCTAAAAGCGCAAATCCTGCCCTTGCTTGCGAATAGGTATCTGTTACATAAACATCATATCATCAATTACTAAACAATATCCATCGACAGTCTAAACATGTTTTATATTTAAAGATGTGTATAAACTGATAGCAAGACATGTCGGAAAAGTGTTTAATCGCTTAACACAATTTTATTTTGCAGTGCAACCGCTGGAAACTATGAGCGACAGTAGGTTTTTTAAACAGAGTTGGGCATCGCAAAGGGGAGAGGCCTACAAAATGTCTGACAGATTGCGGTCAAACTTGTTCTGGTTTATAGTCTCACTTGGTTGCAATGAGACCAGGTGTCCTATGAGGAAAAGAAGGATGGTGATAACCGCTGGCCTGGCCTGGCTATTGACCCGGTCTTGGACACAACTCCCCTTCCCCTTCCCTCTCCCCCTCTCTCACTCTCTTTTTAAGTACTTGCGTCATAACAGTTATCGACCTGTAGGTTGGATACATTACCTGCGAGGAGTGAATAAACCAGAGCGAGTTGCAAGGCTGTTTCGGCGAATGCTCCGCTGATGACAGCCGCACTCAACATTGTACCACACGTCACCAAGACATAACCAGTCCCAAATCGTCTGCTCAGTAGTGCTGCAAAAAGAGCTGCATACAACAAATAAAAGTTATAAAGCACCTGAACCGAACTCAAGAATGGATCCAGAACCCAAAATATTTTGAGGGCGCAAATAGTTTTGAGGGTCCAGAAAGTTGAAAAAAAAACTTACGGAACCAATTATGGCCTTCGGGGGCAAGGCTACATTGTGAGTCTTTTTCTTTTTACTCACTTTTGGAAAGAAAATGAAACAAACGTATACAGTACAAAAATCGTCTCACTCATTATTTTACCAGAAAACAATTTTTGATGGGGAGGGACCATTGCCCTCCCCCATCCGCCATTGACGGGTCAGACCAAGCCAAACCTGTCGTACTACTTTGACATGTCTCATCGTCTTTGGTTCGACCATGGTTCGATTAAAATTCTTAACTTTCCACGTTGCTGATTTCATATTAACTTGCACCACTGAGCATTTGATGTCAGCTCTCCAGTTGAAAAGCCAGCATTAACTCTCAAGGCACACCTTGATAAAACAAAAAGAGCTGCCGCACGAGGAGCACACAAACAATAAAGTGGATCTGTAAGAAATGGGGTTTTAGGAATTGAACTGCCAGTAATACCATGGCAAAGTTGTGTTTCCACTGGAAAGAGGGGTTGGCATTATGAAAATCTTATTAGCCTATGCAGCAAGTTTGTCTGAAGATAAATTTGATCGCTAGTTCAATTTTCAGCATTAATCGCGCAAAAAAATTAGTCACATTAAAGCGTTTTGAAAGACAACTTATTAGTCACTGCATCAGTGCATTCAATGTGTCATAGCACGAAATTACTAAACAAACGCTGCACTCAAGAAAAAAAGTTTGTATAATATTTCACGAATGATGTGTGGTGTATTATCAATGCCAATTTACGCAGGGCGGTGTGATACACTCGCTGCGTAGAAAAAGCATTTTGAAAAAAAATTTGATGTGGTCCTTATACGATTTCCGTATACAAGGGAGTGTGCGAGTGAGTGAAGTTTCACGGAAAATAGGAAAACATAATTGCGAGCACCGAGTATTAGTGAGGAAGAAAAACGGTTTCCAGTTAGACAACACAGTTGTAAAGTAAAACAGTTATATAATTATGCTGAAAGAATAGAGAAAAGGTTTCGTTATTTGGTTTCAAAGTATAATTCAAAACTCTCCGCGCTACTTTTAGTTGGTATTCGTCACGTAAAAAAGTGTCATGGCATGACGTCTAAATAATGCACAGCTTTCCCAAAATGGCACTTAATATAATTCCAAGCTAGGCATTATAGTTATCTTTTACGTCTTTAAAGTAATATAGAACTGTCAGCCCTATTCCATTCACGGACGCCACTTCACATCTTGTGCACAAATCCTATGGGACCGGTCTGAAAAATTCTGTTTTGTAAGTAAACGATTGGGTTTTCCCCCTTGAGTTGAACTTTTCTGGACATGTTTTTGCTTTCTGACGGCTAATAGGTCACTGTAGGGAATAATTACTAGCGTCCGTATACGGAACTCTTCCCCCTACGAACATACCCATAAACCCGCTCGTCGCGGTGATCATCGAGGTAATCCAGCCAATAATCCACATCTGCGTGGTCAGCTGCTGTTGCAAGGTCGGCAGCATGATTCCGAGGCCCTTGGTAATGCCGATCTCCATCAGGTTCTTGGTCCAGAGTGTTAGAACGGCAACCTGGCCGCACCGACCGCCATCTGGTCCCACGAGTCGACCGCTGTCGGCCCCACTCATGCCGCTTCCCCGGTTTACACGCACCTCCACGAAGTTTTGTATAGACCCATTTTACTGTGCAAAAGTTCTAACGAAAAGGCAGACCCTGCCCCTGTTTGTAAGGAACAATCACCTGTGACTCGTAATGAAAAACATACATTCAAGCCTACAGGCCTGTTCAGTGTCCCCGACTGCAGAAATTGTGGCCACCACTTTCAGTCATTGACAGGCAAGGAAGAGCTGGAACAAAGAAGCGATAGCCCTAGAACTTCCACAAGTGACTCCGACTCGACGATAGCCGCCGCACAGGACAAGTCGACCGTAGGGAACAGCCACAATGCTGTGCCGTCTACAATTGTGTTTGTGAAGTCATCATGTTGGCGTGAACAATGGTGTCTATTGAGGACATAGATCGCCCCTTTCATGGGCCGCGCAACTATATTACACGACGGCACAATGGCTCCCGTATAGATATCGTGCCGTTGCTGCTGTAGTGATGTAGCACATGCAGTTGCTTGAAAGGGGACAGGGGGTGCAGACCTCCTCTTTGGGAAGCCCCCCCCCGGCCACCCCACATAGGGGGGGGGGGCGATGTGGCATTGTTTCCACCATCAGGTCGAGTTGAACATTGCAAACCGGTCATTACAGATGTAACCGAATCCGACCATAAACCCATCTGAGCTCGCCAAATGGAGGTCAAACCTCCATTTAACCGACTTTTCGCATTTCGAAAAATACGCAATTTTTGCAAACAAATGTCAAGATCATATATAGTTTTTTTATGGTCAGTGATATATCAGATATAATTTTGATTTTATTTTATGAATGAAGGCCATCGCAACAGCTTTAATTTAAAAGGATACAGGTCTAGAGTTTATAGGTGCGTTACTGCACTAGTAGTGGCAATCCAGCAAAAATTTGAGTCAAAAATACTGCTCAAAATCTAATTGACCGATTGACATAAAATGGGGGGGGGTCTCAAGGAGTCCCATTAGTTCACCTAATTTCGATTCAATTCGTAATTGTCAGTTCCAAACGCTGCGGAAATTAACAAATCCGCCGTTTGGATCCGTCGCCGCTACGATCTTTGGTGTGGTTGCCAATCGGCCTGTGGGGCAGGCCTAAGCCGAAACTCAGTGCTCGCGCCGGCCAAATCTCAATTTGTATTCACTAAAATGCTCCACGAAATAGAGCATTTTGTAGCCCATGAACTTGAATATTTGTAGAAAAATAGGTTAAGGCAACCAAAACGAATGCAAGCTTGTGTCTGTGTTAGATTTGGAATAAATTTGTGCCTGAAAACGGTCTGTTCTTCGAGAAGTGCTCCACAACTGCTTTTAACTCTCTGTGGGAAAACATCTTTAAAAGTCATCGGTTTATGAATGAATGGAAATTTGAAATAAACTAAAAAAAAATTGATGTGCGTCTGGAACGCCTGAGAAACTCGTATTTTTTCTGATTTTTTGGAAATTCAGGTATTTATCACTGTTGGCATAACTGGCCTGCACCTTGTATAGTGTAAACAGCTCCCCCACGTGTCCAGTAAACTGAGTTTTGCAAAATGCGCTGGATCTGGTGCCCGACCTCATATTAATATCAAATTGTTACATTGTTCCACAGGCGACCAGATTATGGTCAGACTGACGATTTGCCCGTTCACGTTCCGCAACCAATATGTAAGCAGTGTTATTTGTCATATTTTGATTGATCTGAGATCAGAAAATCATTTGATGTCTTCCCGTAGTATGTTCATGCTGTCGTTGCTGTTTGATAAGTGTGAAAGTTAGTTGTTCAGCTGTTGTCTTGTGACGGTATGATGAAGTTTGAATTCCCTACCTCTGACTATGAAATGATGAAGTTGAACAGTGCCATATGGCAATCTTCACGTAGGCGCAGGCCTGTTACGCCCCAACTGTAGCGTAAGCCCAAACTATGGTTGGGACAGTCCCAACTGTAGTGCTGCAGTTGGGCTGGCCCAACTATTGTTGACCATTGTCTGTGGAAAATGTCTCAACATTATCCAAGTCAATGTGTCTCACACTTGACACAATTCATATAAAATGTGATTATGTGGCACTTCAAGTTCATCTGCTCATCTAGCCCTGTGACCAATGACATGACATTTGTAAACAAAATGACTTTGGCATATGCTTGGCACATCGTGCACACAGGACCTCTCTGCTGTAGTTGGGCCGGCCCAACTGTAGCACTCTAGTTGGGACGGGCCCAACTATAGTTGGGACAAGCCCAACTATAGTTGGGACTGATGCTGTAGTTGGGGTGTAACAGGCCAACGTTGATCCCTCAGGGCCGAACACTGAATGCGAGCATAGCTTTTGTGGTAGGATCGAGGGGAAAAATGTTGCATCTTGACTGCACTTCAGCAGTTATATACAAAGTTCATGGGGAGTGAAGAGAATTGTCTAAGTATTTCCCAACAACATCGGTAAATGTTTATCAGTCTAGAATTCGTGTCTTTCCAACATTTCTGTAATGACTTACTTTTATTTAGATGATGAGAAAAGTGGAGTCAGGATGCAGCATTTTTTCCGGATCAAGATATCTGACATAATCCTTTTGTTATTCGGTCATCTAATGCAGCAGTAGCTTTTTCCAAGCGTTAAAATTCATTAATTTCCTCTGTCTGTCTGTTCCCATAAAGTTAGGCCTACGGCCTAAGTAAGTCATGTAAGTGTAGGCCCTTAAGCAATCATGACATTCTTGCACCGGGGGTTTTTCCAAGAATATGAAGCCCATAATAAATGTGAAGCCGCCGCTGAACTAACATGACTAATGACCGTCCTGATGCTCAGTAGCTTGCTGAATTTTTTAAAAGCCAGATTCAAGAACTTAAATTTTAGTCACGCTGTGATTCTTAGTCTGTCATGGCAAGCATCAAGTCACTACCTAACCGAAAGTCCAATGGATATTCGGAGAGTTTAGAATTCAGTAAGGTTAAATGATGTCTATAAAAATCGGTTCATGATATATATGTATTAAGGATCGGTACTCACTTCTGAGGACATTAAATGACGATGTTGCATAAAATGACTTAATATCCCTTTTAAAAAATGTAGCACTTTTAGCTTAACCCTCCTTTGGTTTTACAGCACAAATATGCACAAGTGCCCAAGGTCACTCTCTTGCATGTTGGTGCAGTGCACAACATGACACAGCTGTGCTTCTTTGAGGTGTTTATCAAGTGACCCACAGAGTGACTTCAACATAGGAGGGTTAAGTATGTCATTAGTGACCTTTACAAATATATCTGTGGGGCATATCTCCAGAAAAATGCCAATAAGAAATACTGTTAACTTTGTGTGATGCATGCTATGCATGTTATGTCATATATGTTGGTAGCAAGCTGTGCGGCATCTCCACGTGAGACTACAGCATCCACTAGTATCGAACATTGGCTACAGCCCTTCACCGATTGATACAATTTGAAGCCTTAGTTGTAGGACATGCTACCAGAACGCAGTTTGCCCGTCATGCGCCACCCCGTACAATAACTAAATGGTACACCAGCAGTGCTGGATGAACCTATCTTGGCATGGGCATGCCAGAGTTATCTGGTGGATTTAATACTTCCGGAAGAATTCAATAAACGGATGCCTCTTGATGCCCTTTGCCCAAACCCAGTGAGACTGGTCTGAAATATTGGAAATGTTTTGTCAGCATGCTCAGTGTGTAAGTGAAGGAGGGGGCTGTCAATATTTTCATGACTAAATGAGACTTATTAGGATATATTATTGCTCTAAGATGGCTTATGGATCACTACAGGAAAAAAAAGGGTGTCTGTATATGGACTCCTCCCCCATGCAGCAGTCTCCTGACGATGGACAGAGCATACTGTCCGAAACGTTGAGTACCATTAGTTCTTTTCACAACCCCACATGCTAAAAAAACCCCCAAAACCCTGGTGCTACCGCGAACCTATCTGGTTTACTTTCTATCTCCACACTGAAAAGCTTCAAATCTCATCCTTTTCAATACTTGCACATTGTTTTCATGAAAGGACGGGCTTGTCATTGCCTTCTCCCTGAACTGTTGAACAGTGGGGCATTACTTCAAGAATTCAAAGTCACTACTTTATGTAACTTTGAGCCAATTTAGTTTACGTGGGGTCATAACACTATGGGTTTTTTAATTCAAATATTTGAGGTGAATTATGTGGCAGCTTGATCTCCACTTTTTCAAACAAATTAGAAATTTTCCTGTGAGAATGAAATGGAGATACATGTACCTATAGCACTTAAGAAGTGTGTAACATTTGGGCCAGCCAATGGCCAAGCTTGCTTCGCATCTTGGTTAGACCATTTTCGGTGGCGGCTTACAGGCAACTCTATGCTTACAGGTCACAGCATGCAAGGACGGTCGCATAATGAAAACAATTAAAGATACTGCCCCCCCCCACCGAACCAACATGCAGATTAAGCTTGGTCATTGGCTGGCCTGACACATGCGTAGTGTGATAAACACAGACAGCATGAATGGTGCAATCATTGTCAGGTGGAAACGAAAGGTTGGTGAGTAAAAAATCTCCCCTTTTTTTTTTAAATACATGCAGTCGTGTATGAATGTAGCCCAGGTAGATCCATTACTGATCAGGGTGCATTTACTAATTTTCCTCACTCAAAAAATTCCACTCTTTCAATCAGATCGTACTAACAAATTCCATCCCAACTGACCTATATCTCTCTAAGACCTTTGACCTGGGGCTTTAAGACCATGTGGCCCACACCTTTTTTTTTTCTTTTTTACCGAATCAGAGGTTTTTCCCGGCAGCTTCTCATTCTCCTCAAGATGGGCCCAAGTGACGATAGCCCATAATTGATGAAGTCCACCCCTGCTTGGATTTCTTCATATAATACCACCACATGCAACCTTTATACTCACAGGACTCAATGGACACACACTCCATACCCGTAGGACTGTGGGGATCCTCTCTAGGGGTGTAAATGGTGTTGACTGAAAATTGCATTGTTTCTCTTTTTTTGCAGGTCGAACTCTAAAGTGACGTTTAAGATAACCCTCACATCTGATCCAAAGTTACCATTTAAAGTGTGAGTATCAATGTGAAGGAATTTCGATCCCAAAGGTGTGCATTTTTCACTGATTCTTGAAGGCTGTAAGCACATACATGTACATGCACATATCTTGCACAGGGGCAAAGTATGGGGTAGAGGGCAAAGTATTGTAAACTTTGTTACAGTCCAAGAATTTACTGGTGTTGTTTTATAGGCTGAGTGTTCCTGAATCCACACCATTCACAGCTGTTCTGAAATTCACAGCCGAAGAGGTAAGTTAACCCTGATAAGTCCAACATGATATGTTGTCAATTCAATTAATCATATCATGTCATCTTATTCATAATATTAGTGTGAAATCCCAACACCATGTGTTTTAAAGGTCCCCCAAATAAGCTCATTTTATATGTATACTTGTTTATACTTTTGCATTTTTAGTTTGATTTATTTACAAGTTTTACTCTTTTCCCTATTAATGTTCTATGTAGCTGTACTATAAGTAAAACGTTTTTTGCTGTGTTTTAAGTATAATGGTTTTTTAATTTTACTGATTGTATTTTAATTGAGGGCCTCTGTGGAAAGCATTGCTGTGCACTGATGGAGCTTACCCTCATTAAAAAGACTTAAATAAAATACTAAATTGGAACTAAATTCATGTCTATGATCGGCGCTGTGCCGTAGACTATGTGACATAATTATGAGGTGGCACTGCATTCAAGTGTATTTGGCAGATCACAACACCCTGTAGGTCAAAGAGGCATGTAACATGTGTTTTCCACCTGTCCATGAGCAAGAAGCCTTTTGCGAGTTAACTTTGACCTAAATCTGGTACACTGAGTTCTTTAAATTCAATTTATGTGAACATAACAACTTGAATTCTCCTTACTAAAACCACTGTTGCTATACATGTACCTTGTGATTCAGGGCAAGCTTTTGCTTAGTGACCTAAGAGATGCCTTGCAACAATACACTGTTCTCAATGGATAAGGAGGGCTCAAAGGAACCAGTCCATTCCAGAGATGGTGGTCGCTATGGGAAAGCTTGCCCCGAATTACAATGTATAGCAACAGTGTCTTTAGTCTGGGGAATTCAAATCGTTATGTTTATGTGCAGTCAGATAACTCAGTGCACCAGATTTCATTCAAATTTAACTTGCAAATGGCGTATTGTGCCACTGCACTAATGGCTTCTAATTTTGCTTGTCGATTTCCACTAAAGTTCAGTGTGCTATAATAACAACTACATGTAATTTTATTGAATCTTGTATCGAAACAAATCTTTCCAATGCATCAGAAAACAATTGCCCCTGAGGACTGGTTCCATTGGGCCTTGTCACACATTGCATCATTTGTTGTCATGTAGATCATGTCTTTTTTTGATGTATGTGTATATCTGCAGTTTCGGGTACCACCAGCTACCAGTGCAATTATTACTAATGGTAAGTTAACACCTGTAGTTTCTTTTTCCTTGTTTTTTCCCTTCAATTATTCACTGATAGTTCTCTTTATCCCCAAGCACAGCATATACCGGTACCATGAGGCCACTCCAATCCATCGCCTGATATTGAAGGCTTTAAGTGCATTAAGGACTTCATTTCCCAGTCACAACAAATGAGCCCCTTTGTGAAATCATACAGCAAGGAAAGAGTGAAATGTATGCGCAAAGATTGCAGCAATGGTTTGCAGTATTGAACATGGACAGGGTTGAGAATGGCCAAGAAAGTATAGGCAAACAGAGATCAACAGTATCATTTCAATGGTAAAGTGGTTTACCAGATGAAATAACATATATCCTCCTGTCATGTTTTCTCCCCGTTATTTTCATAGATGGTATTGGCATCAACCCTGCACAAAGTGCCGGCAACGTTTTTCTAAAACACGGCTCGGAACTCCGGTTAATACCAAGGGACAGGGTCGGACACCCGCAGCAAACTTAAGATGTATACAATTGTTTCAAAGGTCTTCTTAAACAAGTATTTGGACATAGGGACAATCCTTACTGAAGCTGTCATATTGATCAAAATGTGTGGGATAAGAAATGAACATTTGTGACACTTGGCGTCAGGCAGGCACACTGAAAGCTTACTGGCTCCGTACAGAGCTGTAGAGGGCGCTACAGAGCCTGCTTATAAGAGCCAAATGGACAGCACATGGTTTTGGTCATCAAGGGAAAACCCTGCTCCACCAGTTGTGGAGGGCTCATAGTCACAATATTTCCAACTGAATTAAGACACATACAAAAGGCATAGTGTCTTTAATAGAAATATGGCTATTTTATTTTCTTTTAAATGAAACCCGTTGTGCACAGAGGCCTTGAGCCAAAAAAAGTAATATGGGACGTACTGCTGTGAAAGGTTAGCTCCAATCTTGCAGCAGTATTTCTTCTAATATTGTAAGGAAACAGAATTAAAGAGAAACACGTTTCATCGTTGTCTTTATTCTCCGTGTAGAATTTACTGAATAAGTTGCTTGATTTGAGAAAAATATTACATGTACATTTTTAATAACTCTGCCTCAGAGTGCATGTTCAGGCTGGTGCAAGTATCATCATGGCGTTTCCAGTTATTTCCTACATGTATTTATTTTATTGATATATTACGGAATGATTCTTCCTATCTCTACATGGATCACGACCTTCAAGTAATCAGACATTGTTGTCATTTGAAGAAACGGTAATATTGAAGCCACCCTGACAAACACGGCTGTGAAGTGACATTTACAGTTGCCGGTCATTTCTTTCATTTTGGCTCCCCAAAATATCAAGTTAAATTTGTCACTTGATTTTAAAAGTACTCCATCACAAATTGGATCACTTTATTGCTTCATCTGTTGGGTATATTTGATGAAAGTGTTTTGGACAGAATGAAAGACAAAAACGAGGCTATATTATTTGAATGTTTATTTTAATACCAGATGATTTTTATTGTCATATCAACTCCTGTTGTTAGTAAAAATTTGACATCACCTTTGTCAAAAGAGCTGTGCATTGTAACAACCCATGTTTGGCTAACAATCTTAATCACTTGTCACTGGTCCATCAAAGCCCGTCCTTGTAACCTTAGCCCTTTGTTCATACATGTACATTGCATGCGTCTTTACAATTTGTGATAAAAGAAATACAATTCGAACAGTAGCCCTTTGTGACAGCTTTTAAAAAGAAAACTTGGCAAAGTGGGCATACATTTGATCGTGGAAAAATTATGTATTTCTGAGAAATTAATATGATTTAATGTGTAAAGCTGGGATGGTACAATTTCTCTAAAATGAACCACCCACTTGTGTTGGGAAGGCATATCCTTACACATTTAATCCCAACAAAATTTGGTAGCTGGAGGTGCGCTTTTTCAATGTCAGTGAAATAAATTAAAAGTTTCTTTGTCTGAAAACAGAATTCATGTTTCGAGGGAAGTACTTTTTATGTTTATTTCAGTCCAGATTTCAATCCAGCCTTAACGTTGATGACATCAAGCTTACAAATGAATCTGGTGACCATGTAATATGATAACTATTGCATGGTCATAATGTAATAACTATTGCATGGTGCCACTGCTCTGTAAAAAACCCATCACAGTTCTTTCTGCCATTACAGGGGGGCTGCCTGGCATATCAAAGTGAAATCTCATTGGATTCGTCTACGTGTATGTGCCTCAAGCTGGACCAAGCGAGGGTGCAATTTTCCTAGCAACAGAGGCCCCTTTGGTACCAACAATACCATCAATGCCAACAAAATGAACAAGCTTGACCAATATTGCTCTTTTCAACTGATGAGAGGGTGCCTCTGCTCAGGGCAGATAGCTAGACAGCTTGGTGTTTTGTTTTAGCCCTTGTTTGTTTGGGTCTGTGCTTCCCTGGCAAATAACGTATAAAAACCCCAAACAACGTAAAGACCCCAAAAGTTTCTTTTGACGTTTTGCAATGTCAAAATGGTTCAAAAACCACTATTAAAAATGTGACGAGTTTTGCTTATTCAAAATTACCTCATTTCTTTACTACTGAGTACATGTACAAGTAGTATTAAAAATAAATCCTTCATGTTTCCTTAATATGATTTCCCTAAATATATTACTCGAAAAACATACATGTATGTTTAAACTTTTAGCTCAAAAAGTCAGTGTAAGAAATGGCTAGTAGAACACTACGATAATTTGAAAATCCACTCAACACTTTCAAAGTAAATAAAAATAATGACCAAACTACAATGGACAAGACATTTTGTTGAGGCCAAGTCGCATCAAGTTGTTTATCCTCTCAACCTACTTCCTCTCTCCCCCAACGTAACTTTAGTGAACTCAGACAGCACCTAACCCAACCGTTTTTTCAACTCGTATTAACAAATGAAAGAAGTTGCACGCCTAATCGGAATATCTGAGCAGAAAAAAAATACTAGATTCTAACAGATACTATCAGATACTTTAACTAATACTGACAATGCATACATGTTTTGTAAATGCGCATAAAATAAACTGATTTGTGTCACGTTTTTTTGTGCAGCTGCAAGGCTATAAAAATTCAATGTCACAAGGAATGTTGGAAAACTGTTGCAACATACTGAAAGACGTTTCCTTAGTTTTTGAATTTAGGAGTTCGACCTCAGGACATTGGACACTAATGGACAAGGAAAATCCAATATCTATCAAATCATATTTGATGTGAAGCAACAAAGACACCATCACAGATTTGAAGGCATCGCATTGTGTATCTGTTATTCTTGAAAGAAAAATATTGAGAATTTAAAACTGGAAAATACAAGCACAAAGAATGGCATGTACATTTCTGGAATGGTAATCTTAATGCAAAATTATATTCTAGGAAAGAAATTACGAGACAGGAAGAATATACATGTAAAAACTGCCAGAAGTGATAAACTCGGATGAGCTCTGATAATTTTTTTCTGGAGGTAACAGGTTCAACTCCCTCTCCAGTTTTCTTTTTCTCAAGAACTGAACAGTGTTCGCATTTAAAAAGTTGGCATTTGAACTTTATGGTTTCTCTGTGCATTAGGCATTGTTGATTCAAACCTGGCAAACTTTGACCCTGGGTGCTGGCGGGGGTGGAGCCTTCCCAAATGGGAGGGAGGGAACCATCGGCACCTGTAGCTGTGGACACGGCTCTCGCATCAGTCAGACTGCAAACAAAGCAAAAAATGCTTCCATATAACAGACACAACATGACAATGCCTTCAGCTCACATTGATGCATTTGTTACTACCTTTGACACTAAAAGATACAGATATTTCAACGACATGGTCATTTGGGAAAAAAACGTTGGCATCAACCCAGACTGAACATGTTCGATGCCTGAGGGTGACGTATGGCTGCTCTGATAGGGCCAATCTCCTATAGGTGTACTTATTACTCCCTGTGCTTTCATTTCTTCTTTTGAAGTGAGAGGTGGAAATACGGGCCAAATATTCTGAGGCGGTCAGTTAAATTTGTGAGGTGGACTACCTCGCATTTGAGAAGCCAGGTAAAACCTTGGTGGGTGGTTGTAGTCTGCATTTGCCCACGACAGCCGCGCAATAATTCAGAAACTGTGGTTTTTCACGTGGTGTCAAACAGGAGGCAAGCGGAAGAAAGCCTATAACGAACAAACCGCACTCACCCATTCATCCTCGTCAACTCCTTCACACAAGTCTTGGGGAAGAGGTTCATCCTTGGCCTGCAGCTTATTGGTCATGGCACTCAGTAGCTGAAGACAGAAGGAAACAAAACATTTCTTCTGGCCTTGGATTGCACACCACTTATAGTAAACCACAATTTAGCCCTTCCAAAAAAATAACCTATAGTCTACAGTATCATCCTTCCTTCAACACATCTTGCATTATGGTTGGAGTTTTTAAATGTGAGTTTCAATCACATGTCCAAAGAAAATACAATTTACAACTGCTCATACTAGCCGTTGCATGATTCGCTGAGATGAAAATTTCTGCTCACTATAAAATGAGGGGTCGGGTGTACATAGTGGTTCTTTCCTTGCCCTCCGGCAAAATCCTACCCAGGCCAACAAGTGGAAAGTGGGTGTTCAGTCCCTACCTTACTGTATCAGTTTTATCCAGAACTTTCTTCTGGGGTTTTCTTCCCACCCCTCAAACTGTAACTGGTTCTTACCGTCTCCTCTCTACAGGCTTCTTTGAGCTTGTGAGCAACAGTGCCAGAGGCACGTCTTGGGAATCCTTGCTTTCATTGGCCGAAATGGTTAACAATATTATTGTTAAAGAAGTTGAGATTTGTACCTCTTCTTTTTTCTGCTCATCCGTCTTGTAGGAGAGCTCAACTTCTGCCACGTACTTTTTAGGCGCTGGGGCCACTTTGGGTATGGAGCTCACTGGCAAAAAGGAAAAAAAAAAGTTAAATTGCAGTCCCATCTTGAGTTGAAGGTGCTAAAACGTTTTGGGCTTATTAAAACTTTAACTACATCATGCTGAACTTATTTCTGACTGCATAATACGATATTTTGCAAAAAGGCAAAATAGATTGGCTAAATTTTAAAATTAAGTCAAAAAATACAAAAAGACTGAGAGACATTTGTATGATATTTCTGCAGAATTTTCAACCGCAACTTGACTTTTTTGGCAGTGTCCAGGACCATCCCAGGCCGTACTTGCTACATTGGCAGGACCCGTGCAGCCGCCCAAGATTAAGTTTAACATACTGTCCAAATTACCAGACAACGTGTGTGTACAGAACCACAGACATATAAACCCATAGACGGGCAGCTCCAATTCAAAACAACGATGCAGAACCATAGCCGAGACAGCATCCGACTAACTCCAAAAGTGTGGGCAAATTCACCCCTCGGTGTACGGAAGTTAGGCGCAGTTGAAGAATTCCAGCTATAAAATTCTATGAAGCCATTTTTCGATTGTAAAAAACCCCCTCTATTTACTTAATCTGGCCCATACGGATTAAAACAATGTGGTAGCAACATTTGAAAAGAAGAGATAGCAGTACCAAAGAGCAAAAAAGGAACATATTTTTATAGCACATGTAAACAAATACCTACAATCAAAGTGTGTCACATGCAATTCGCACTGAACACGCTGCTATGCATCGTTTCACCCATAACTGCTTGCCCACACTTTTTAAAATCATGGTTATTGGTGTACGGCTGGTGGTCTATGCATTTAGATGTCTGTGTACAGAACCAATGGGTTCTAGCTGTGGATGAAAATAGCACACATCCAAGCTTGACAACTTTCCCATCACCCACTCCTGTGGATATACACTAACTGATCGCATTACATATCCTCCTGCATGAACTTCTCAAAGTCAATCTAAACTATCTTGGTGAGAGTCTAAATTTAGACGAGAGACAGGTGAGATCTAGAGTACAAGGCACTGATCTGGGGGGATCTGGGTTCAGAGTGAGTTTTGAAACTCAAGCACCTTGCTAGAACTCACATAATTTCATGTCTGGTGGACAGAGGCTAATCCTGCGTTGAACACCGTTCTTTCCATCCAGCCACTCTTGACTTGTCAAGACTGACTCCCACGTCACTCTTGTATCGGGAAAGATGTCGTCCTGAAAGTACTCTTTCTAAAAGAAAAAAGAAAGGTTATCTTGCAGATATGTTTCTAAACTAAATCTAACTGTGTGCTTCTGTGAAGGTAGTTAACTGCACAAAATCCACCAGGCTTTCTTGTATTCTGCAAAAATGGTTATTTTCATGAAAATAAGACCAGAGTCAAGTAACTAGCACAAAAAGCACATAAACTCAGTTTTGCAATTAGAAATAAACACCTTTCCACATACATCACTTCTAGCACGCTTGTACTTCTGAGGCATAGGTCAATTCAAGCTGCGATAAAATCATTGAACTCATCTGCACACTGACCTTGACCCTCGGCACCATGAAGGTCACTGGTTCAATGGTCGTCTGGGTCAACCTCATGGCTTTGGCAAACTCCACATCCCTGACATTACACACCTTCTTAGGAAAGAACGACAGGCCCTGCAAGAACACAAAACCTGACTGAAATTACTTACAATGCATTATGACAGTGAAAAATGTATACATTCTGCCTACTGTGTTTAAAGACCACACTTTTTTAATCGGAAAAATTACTTTTTGAAGTAAAGATCAACTCCCACTCCTATAGACCTGCAATCCATACCACAGGCTGATGATGTCCTTAAAAGGCAATTCAGCTGTTATCAAAACAATCCTGTTTTTGAGCTATTTCTAATACCATATTGTAATACATGTAGCAGTTAACAGATTGTCACAAATGATCATGAATTTGCTGTTTTGCTTTTAATTTTCATCACATGGAGTAGAACGGTAATCATAACACCTGAGTTGTCATCACAATATGCCGAGCTCCGGTATCCTGCATGGCAATGCATTCAATAATTTGTCAGTCACTCATCACTTGGTCTACTCAGACTGAGTGATTCGAGTCCATGTAACCTGAGAGCAAGACCACATTCCTGCTACTAACCTGATGAGGCACCAGCTGTTGGAAAGGTGCTACGTCATAGAAGTAAGGTGGCTCTGTGAGAATCTCATATGCTAGAGCAGATATGTCTCCCTGTAACCATGGCAACGCATCAATGGTGATTACAATGCAACCTGAGTAGTCTGTGTTGGAGCTATGATTAATATTGTGATGTTCTTTGACCTTTGCGGGGGGCATTCTCAAAACCTCAGCTCTGTTGTACGCTACACAAATTACTGAACTGTCTGATGTGATCCAACTATGAATGCTGTACAGTAACTCTGAAGACTGTGGCACATTCAAAGCCAGAGACACAGCCGAGATTTTTAAAACGAGCATGGACTTTATCAGTCCAAAATCCCATATATTAATACCTTTAATATACAAATGTGCCAAGGTCTCGGGTCCAATCTGGATAGAGTCAGGGCTTACATCAGAACCAGCTTGGAATTTCTGTTCCACAGCTGGACTTGTACCAACTTCATAATTTTATGATTTTTGCCTCAGATTAAGGGCGAAACTAAATTCAAAACGCTGACATGAAAATCCATTCAGAAATGCATTTAAGTCAAGCGATTTGAGTCAGCTTTGTTTGTAGAGTGACAGTTAGGGTATGAACTTCCAATATCGTGTCTTCCTTTACCTTTCCAGTAAGGATGACTACATTAGTGTCCTCATCATAGTAGGGAACCAATGTAGCTGGCGCGACATTCAAAGAAATTGTCTCCAGAGCTTCACTTAAGTCACTTACTGAGTAGAGATAAATTGTGCGCTCACCTTTCCTGAAATATCGGTATGAATCGGAATTGCAAATGATTAGAAAATACAAAAGTGATACAATTCAGACAGATGAATTTTATGACTGGTACAGTGTCATTCTTACAACATCTCCCCTACATACTAACGAATCAGCCAGCATTTTTCATCTCAATGTTAAATCAAACCAAAAGAGTTTACATACTAGCCAAGTATTAGTTCCTAAGACACAGACTCTATGGCATGACACACTGCAGGTGACTCTGAAGTCACATAACTTTAAAAACATGGCTCTTCATATGGTAACTGTATTATGTAACACAATTGTGAAGAATGGTTCGGATATGCACAGTGCACTGCTACATTATAAATGTTGCTTGATATAAATAGGGATACTTCTTCCGTAGGAGTGATGTTCTTGGCACTTGGGGCAATATCTGGAAGTTCCAGAAAAGATTTGGGAGACGATAAGTTTGGCCAATCTTTTCAGTGCAAAATGCTATGTAGCAGCTTTATATACGAGAACAAACAAATTACACAGAAAAGTCTTTTATATTTGGCTATGTCCGTTCCTTGACTTAATCACCCACCTGAACTCTAATCTCATTACCTCTCAAATCCAGAGACAAGAAGGAAATCGTCCCTACAGACCCAGAGAATGCGGGCTCCTCGACTGCCTGGTGGTCCATTCCCCTCCTGAAAATCAAACCCAAGAATCCTCACCTAATAGCAAACAACCCTCGGTATCAACCCTACCCCCCCTGCCAGCTCAGCTAATTTGCCGGCAACTTTCTGTAAACCTCCAAAATCCTCTACCGTGCAATCAACCCACAGCACATTGTTTGTAGTTCCACCTTCCCAAGGTCTTCAAGCCCAGCACTGTTGTTACCTAGTTGGCGGCATTGCTGTTGATGCTGGCTTTAAAGTTTTGGGCATGATCCATGGTTACACTGCATCTGTTACTTTTACGGGCGTCTGTCGAGCAACTTGAGAAAGACCAAAAAAAAAAAAACTGGGAGCTCACCAACAGAGGGCTGAATAGATCTCCAGTCCCGGGTTTTAAAGGACGAAGGTTACAATTTTGTTTTTTATTTAACCCCTATAACAATTCAAGTTCCATCCCTGTATGTAACTGTCAATCACTTCTGTTTCATCTTTTGACTTAGCCAACAACATAAGGATACAAAATCAAAAGTTCCTTTCTGAATGGAATGAAAAGCCTTGCTATACGTAATAAAAGCACTAGAGGCATTTCTGTGATGCCGTGTGTGGCAAGAATTTTGATGGCTTTGTGGACATACATTGATGGGTTCATTGGATTTTCTAGGGTTGTAAATCCGGATCTTTCCATCCTTGCAGACTGTTGCAATCTTGCTACCATCGGAACTCCAAGCGCCGCTGAAAATCTGGTGCCAAAGACAAACAGAACCAATTCAGAACGCTAAAACTCTACACAGTTGTTTAACTCCAAACTCAGCTTATTACTGCTTAGTAAATTACCTGGGAACCGGTCACAGGCAATACATGTATAATGGCATTTTGGTTGGTAACCAACTTCTGCTAATCAAGTATTCTCCATGTTTAGCATCTCCTCATATAAAGGCCAAGACTGTTCCGAGATCAGGTACTGAGATCAGGTACTACCTGATCAGTGTGCCCTGTTAAGCTTATCTTCTCCTCCCCGGAACTCAAGTCCCAGATTTTGACCATCATATCGTAGCTAGCAGACATCAGGAGGTCTTTCGCTTGTGGGTGAAACTTTATAAAGTAGATCTTCTCACAGTGACCTGGGGGAAAGAAATATTAGGATGTATGATGGAGAACATTCAGCACCAAGAACATGGCAATTTGTCATGAAGGCCGTACAGTTTTGTAATTCCTTACATAACTCACTTATTAAAACTTCTCTTATCTAATTATCTGAGCTTATATTAACTTCTGAATGGGTTTCTATGTCTTGTACATAATTTGTATTTTCTTATTCCTTTGATTTATCCTACCTGACTTATTCTACTTTTGCATCATGTGTGTTTAAGTGTTTCATACGCATGATTTTGTTTCTTATGTCTTCTCAATTTATGTGTTACATGTACTTTACATTAAAGGGAATCCCTAATCGACAAGCTTCGGTATGGGGGATCTCCGTCCACATCCTGATGTGGATGTGACTCCTAAATGGAACATGATTATAAAAATGTATATGTATTTGAACCATACATAGTAAGACTGTATGTATCAACACACATATAATATTCTGTGGATACTGTCAAGAGATGTAGTGAAATTAATAAAGACTGAATGAACGAAATGAGAATGTATTTTAGAGGGAACTACATTTAATTCGAGTTTCTTTTCAAGCTTCACCAACTTTTTGTGAACAAGGGACAGCACTGTTTGATAGAGTGGCCATCTTTACTTGTCATAATATTTTGGTTTGACAGTTTGAATACCAAGCTGCACATTTGATATTGTGGTACTCACTCTAGCAACATTCTTGTGTCTGAGAAAAGAAGATGGCAACAATGAATTTATGTGAAAGTATGCATTTTAATGATAAGCTTTTAAAACTAGAAAAAGGCCTTAAAAACCATTAACTGGGCTCATTCATTCTGGTAGAAACCTTCTAAAACCCTACAAATCTACCACTTGCAATGGCATCACATCATGCACAGGTTTTAAAAGTTGAGGCAAATCCATATACACATGTACATTAGGCAAATCACAACATTCTAGTGGTCACATAAGCCTTTACAGCACGCGTTCCATTTACACGTGAACCTGGTACCATGACCGTGGTGGTTTCCTGGTTGTCAAATTAGTCTATACCAGTGGTGTATTCGAGTCCATCCCAAGTCCCTGCAAGTCCATCACAAGTCATCCAGTCTTAAGCCAATTCACAAGCCATTCAAATGCGCCTTGACACAAGCATTCTATTGTCATTGTTCACCTCGTTACTTATGACTGGCTTTGTGAAGGGACTTGTGACTGGACTTGTGCATATACGTTGGGTAAGGGCAAACCTGTTATATATTAATGGACTTGTGAAGGGACCTACGAAAGGACTTGTGATGGACTCGAATACCACACTGGTCTATACATAATGCAGATTTAAGTTTCATTGTTATCTCTGTCCATTGTCATTGCTGTTGTATTTCTTCTCTCGCATCATCTAGGTTTATTACATGATTATGCTAAGTTGATTTCATTTTGTCTTCTTTTTGTCTGATTATGACTGTTTTTTTATATTTGTTTTGTTATGTTTGTTATATTGCTTTGCGTGTGTATGATTACGTTGCATAGTTCGTCCACGTTATTCCACCTACAAGCCTTGGTTTATGCCAACAGCCTTGTGATCCCTTGTTCGTTTTTTATTTCCCAGTCTACTGACCTTAATTACTGATGGTACCTATCTTCATTTTGCTACCTATCTTCTATCTTATTTCTTTACTCATATATCACCATATTGTATTTCATATTATTCCACTTTGTACTGGATTACTGAAGAGTTCAATGAAAATGTAAAAATGTCTTACTTCTTGCAAGAAGTAAGACTAGAATCTGGGCTTAATTGTCATGAACCTTTTACAATTCTCAAAACCCCCTCGTAAGTTTTGAAGGATTTCATTATGTGTTGAGATTAAAACACACTAAATTCAGGTTCTAGTCTAAACTTTTGCATAGTCTACAAAGCCTAGTGTACAGTTAAAATTTTAAAAGCTGGAATAATCCCAAAATCTTCCCAAGGAATTACAGGATACCTCTGAGTATGAGAGAGGGTTCGGTTAGCGTCTCGGTCCAACCCTCGCTAGGTACGTCCCACACCAAGATCTTGGCATTTTCACAGCCGACCACAAGGCGGCTGTCGTCAAATGGATCCCAAGCAAAGTCCATGATGTTGTTGCCGTTCTGAATGGACGGTAAGTCCCTGTCAAGTTTGCCAGGTTTATTCAGCTAACAGAATGAATAAAGAGGCCAAGGGTAATGCAAAATGTCAACTTGCACGATAAACGTCAATGTTAATGGCAGCTTCTTGACAAAAGTAGAGGCAGAAGTATGCAGATGTATGTAATCCAAGGAGATGACACTACTGCAGTAGACCTTATCCACAGGGAAGCCATTTTGACTGTGTTCTAGGAATACATCTCTCTCAATGTACTCTTTCAAATGGGATGGTGCCAGACTCTTTTGGGTTCCATGTTTCACTTTCTTTTCTTTTAATTGTGGCTTAAGGGATTTAAATATCATTAAACACAAATTTCATATTCTTTATCAGCATAAATGACATTCAGTGTTCTCATTTTTACTCTCAGGTGCCCCAAAAAAAGTTTTACCTCGCTTTCAATTCAATATGGCCGACGTGTGAATAAGGCCAGTTGTGTTCTTTTTGGAAAGTCACAACACCCTACTAGTTGAAGAAGCCTGAAAAATTTGCGTACTACTTGTGTGCGAGCATGGTACAGCAGCAACAACCTTTAATTGTGGG